TCAGACTCTTTGATAGAATTAAAGAAAATGTGATCATTTATTAACTTAGTTTTTCTTGTATACTGTAAAAACTTTTATATGCTTCATTAGTGTTTTAAAAGCATCCAAGAAATAACTGTTTTACAGAAACAGATTTTACTGAAAAGGAATTTGAGCAAAAGCTTAACTACAGTATTATCCAAGATAATGTAGTAGCAATGAGTTACTATGTAATTATCAATATCTGTTGTGGATTTAAGATGTAATTGCTGTAAAATGATACTTGACTTKCAGTTAAAATTAACTCTTTGTCATTTTTCTCTCCACTACTGAGGTAGATCATGTTCCCATGAGGGACAGTTTCTATGCAGGGCATATTTCCCCAGCCTCTTTCTACAGTAGCTGCAGTTACATCCTTGTGAATTGTAGGAACGTGGAAATGTGCGCTGTTGAGATAGCTCACCTGTTAGGCAGGGGAAAGTGCAGAGTTTTCTTGAGATCAGACTTAGATACATTCTSCTGGATTACTGGGAGATGGTTTGGAGAATGTGGACAGTGACATGGTCGTGCCTCTAATTTCCAGAAGAGGATTTTTCTCAAATTAAGCCTGGAGAAGGACAGGATTAACTGTTTCCTAATGCTTTGCCTTTGTATGTAAAACAGTCATCCCAGACTCATGTCAATAAAATTTTTGTATGGCATATTGTCTTTCTGTYTCTTAGTTTGTGTGTGTGTTGGCTCTATAGGTAGTGAATATTAGAAGCTTATTTCTGAAATAATTTCCTGCACAATGTATTTARAAAGTATCTTGAGTTTTGGCAATTGCTGTTTCACTAAGGCTTCCATTTGCTGTKTGATAGTAATGTGTAACCAAAGACAGATCATTTCTCTAGCGACTGATTTCTACTTTTTTTTTTCATTCATTTTTGTGCTGAAAAATGGTATGCTGCTTTTGCAGGTGGTTCTTAGCAGAATGAATCAGCTGCGAAGTGCTGCAGGTCGGAGCAGTGGATCTCAGCAAGCAGGATCCCTTATGTGCCGAGCAGTGAGCAGCAGTGTGGTAGCTTGTGGGAGTATGGATGTCAGGTATGGATTTCATAGCAAAGAGGAACACAAGTGGAAAACACTGGTTGTAGGGAATCACACAAATTTCAACATCAGAATTTGTAATAACAGTTTTTGGGTTTTTTAAGCGCTGTAAGCAAAGAAAAATCCTGATGTCTTCTAAGCTAGGTTTGTTCTGCATTTAAAATGCACCTTGGAAATGTCAGACCTCATTTAGTTCCAGAGTTTGTGGTCTGCTTCTGTGTGGGAAGATACTGGGCAAAATGTCCTAAAGAATGTTTTGAGACATGTTTTAAAACTCTATATTGTCTGTGAAAATGAAAACTAATCAGTACTGTACTGTGAGTGAAAATCTGCTGGGGACAGAGTAACTCCTCCATGGAGGAGCATCTCAGAAAGTACAGGGAAGCTTCTAAGATTGAACCTATCCAACAGGCCACCAGAGCAATGAAAAACCTAATTTAGCCCTCATCTGACTACATACACTACACTTTTTATACRCATCTCAATGTCTTCAACCAGAGGAACATGAAAGATACTTCTCATCCATCAACTTTGGTAAGTACTAAACTTTCCAGCTCTCCCCTTCAGGCCAGCCCTGAAAATAAAAGCTTTCAGCATCTCCCCTGTGGTTCTTATTTCTTAACAAGAATGTGGAATATGCTCCTTAAACAAATGTCTGAATGCATCAGACTATTTGCCTTTGTTTTTGGRCTGCTGAGCCCAAACTCCAAAATTAAAAATAGAAGAAACCTACTCCATCATTCAACAGAGGCAGCAAAGTCCATCGGTAACAGCAAAACCAGCAGGCCTGAGGCATGTCTCTTCATGTAATACAGCTCAAGTGATTTACAAAATACATCAAAACCCTCCAGCTCTCCAGAAGCAAGACAGCCCCTGGTGGTGGAAAATGCTTGGAGAAAGGCTGAAGGATCACTTTCTTCGKGGTAACTCCAGCTAAAGGGATGTTTAAGATGGTCAAGCCATAGTTAAGAGACTTTAGAATTATAAAGTGGGCTGTTCTTCAGAAATGTGAAGTCAAAGTGACTTTAAGGGAGCACAAGGTATGGGTATGGTTGTACTGGGCTGTAGCATCACTCAGAAACCTCGGGTTGCATTTCACAAGGGCTGTATTTTGAGGTTGAAGTGAGGCCAAGGGAATGAACTTAGTATAAATATTGTTTATCYTAGGAACAGGAAATTGGTTTTGGAGAACATGAGGGTTTGTAAAGGAAATGTATTACTGTATTGCATTGCATTACTTAATTGGCAAGATATTTTTAGGCAGCAGCTAATGGTCCGTTAATGAAYAATTGTACATCAGTTCTAAATTGGTGTGGGCTTTTTTTCCAAATGTTAAATCATAGCCAAGCAATTGTAGAGCTAAAATACCAAATCTATTATAGAAAAATGAGGGGAAAAAAATCACTAGAACACTTTTTACATAAATAAAATGCACCAAATTATGTAGTTCTGTAATTACCTACAGCAATTCACAGCAATTCAGAATTAATGTGGAGAAATGCTTTTAAGGACTTTTTCCAAGGTACATTTCARAAAATAACTTAAGCCAGTTGTTTGAACAGGGTAGATAGAATTCAAGAAGTGTTGAGGGCCATCAGGTTTTTAGCAGCTCTGATGTAAAAAGCCTAGGGATTTGAGGCTTGTGGAGGAGGTGGATCACAAGGAAGACTTTGGAAATGGATATTTAATGAATAAAGCCAGCTGGTAAGACACCAGTTAAGCAACTGTGAAAGCAAAATTGTGGAATAGCAGTCTTGTTTGACCCCAGTGAGATACTGAGCAGTTCCCGCTAATGACCGTTATCAAGCTACTTTGTGTAGTTATTTGGTCTGGAAGATTTATGACAATGGGTAAGTGTGTATAGTTCAAGTTTGTTTAGGCTATCCTTGTTTAGCCTTTGCTCTTCCAAGAGCTTCTTAGTGCTGTAGTAGCATTGTGGCCACSCTTCTCTACTATACTTAAGGACAGCTACAGAATCTCTTTCTAAATTTGTCTTTTTGGTTCCTTTGTAGCAGGCTGCAAAATCAAATCTCCATGTGTAGTATTAAAGTCAGCATGCTCTTCTGTTTGGCTGTTCATTGTACACACCCACATTTCCATACAGGTGGTTTTAATGAAGTGGTCTTGCAGGAACATTTTTTATATCCATTTTGTTTTATCAAATGCATGCAAAGCAAAGAACRTGAGAAGAAAAATGCCCTTAAATAATGCTCAGCCTGTGTTTATGGAAGTCATTGTTTGTTCTTCCACTGTTTATGGCCTCATTTTCTTCTTTTTTATTTTTTTCCTTTCCCTCTTGTGCTCCATTTTCCATCACGAACAGCATGTGCAACTTCCCAGCTTAGCTTCAGGCAGCCCTGGGAGCTGTCATCCCCCTGACAGCAAGTACAACACTCACTCTAGAAGGTCATGTGCTCTTCTCGACCTTTGTTGGGAAGGAGAGGCTGTGTCCTCCTCCTCAGGGAGGTTGGTACTAACTTACCTCCTGTTTCAGCCTGGACTCCAAAGGAGCTGAAGCAGTGGTTCGGGACTGAAAGATASAGCACACTTTTCCCTCAGTTGCCCTCAGAGGGCAGCAACTTGCCAGGGCTCTTTAGGACAGGCAGTGTGATGGTGGCAGCTGGGCACTGATGGCAGAACTTGTTTCAGTGAGTGTTGTGGCCCAGGGTGGGGGCAATTACTCAACTAATTTACTTTTTTCTTCAAAGTCCTTCTGCTGCATGTTTGTATCAGCRACATCTGTATGTCCCATCTACTACATGCTCCTGCTGTATTTATCTTTTTCTTTCCTGAAATGTGTCCTTGTCTGCTGAGTCCAGATTACCTACCACCTTCTAACTCCAACAACGACACAAAATATGAACAATTAGTTGTGCAAGCTCTGAAGCAYGCGCTGGTTCTGATGACACAGCGGTTCTTTTCTGCTGATCTTTCTGATCATCTTGTTTATTTAGATAACAAACTCCCCCACTTGGTGTGTCTGCTGTGACTCTGAGTAACATCCTGAAACAGAGCAATCATTGGCATGCCTCCTTGGGCTTGGCCACAGTGCAGCAGCCCAGGCCTCCCAGCCAAGCTTGTCCACATACTCTGTAAAGAATTGTACAGAGAGCTAACTGTGTGACAAAAGGCACCAACAATGTGAGTGAACAATTTGAGGGGATAAGGGGAGTGGAGATAGGATTAAAAGTGATGCTACTTCAATATACAGTTGGTTTTCCATTGTTATAAAGCAAGCAGAGCTTAGTGGCGAAGAAACAGTAACATGTCAAAATTGAGACCCAAGGGTATCCAGAATGCTCTGTGAGCAAGAGGCATTGCCTTGTGGAGAAAATCAGGCAGTGCAAGGAGGTGTCCCCGCAGAAAGGAAGGAGACCCAGGTAAGTGCTAGAAGATAGACAAGCATAAAAATACAGTATGAGGGACGGGACAGGGCAGGAAAAAAACAGCAACAAATATTTGCAGGAGACATGTGTAATGAAGGACAGAAAGTAGGTAATGCGGGACAGAGCTAGAGGGGAAGCAGTGATGCCGGTGAACRGCTCCAGAATGGGCTCCAGGGCCCGCAGGTTCACTGTGAGCCGCAGCAGCGCCCCGCYGGAGGCAGCGCAGGACAGGCGCAGCCCCAGCGCTGCTCCAGGATACCGGAGAGTTCAGTCCAAGCCTTGCCTGTGCTGCCCTTCGCAGCACTCGGGCGRTGAGAGGGAGCCCGGGCTGAGCACAACCCGCGCTGCAGTGTTTGAGCCCCGCAGCACCACCTAGTGCCGCCCGAGCCAGCCCCGATAGCCCCTTTCACCCGCCGGATTGGTAAAGAACAGAAAGCAGTTTTTAAAAATTATGCCCGTTTTTGGTAGGCAGCAATGACTGAAGTGAAACGAACAGAATCGGTCCACAGTGCCAGTTCCATGAGGGTGGGGGGTATTGTAATGTGTCGTACAGGCAGTTTCTCTTTTTTWAAATTTATTTAAAAGAAAAAAAATTCTAAAACACCTGTATCACTAGAATACTTTAGTGCACAAAGACAGCATTGGACAGTACCTGGCCACGCTCTGGGGCTGCCCTCGTTTTCAACAGCTCTAGCATAATTAGACATCAAAGTCTAGTAGCAAAATCTCCCTGCAACAGTCCAAATATAAAACTTTTTATACAAATATATTTTCTTTATAGTACGTGATCACTCGTAAAATACATAATTTCCTTAGCAAAAGTTTGCAACAATATTAAAATAAATAAAATATGCTAGAGAACATTCAGTTCCATAATAAAACTGCAAACCAGAAGAGTATAAAAATTAATTTCATTATTAAAGTCTACTTCTGAGAGGTTTCTTCCCTTTTTGTTTTCTTCTTCTTCTTTTTTTTTTTTTTTTTAGGCCAAAGTAAAAAGCATGTAAAGATGCCAGACCTGTGCAGACTATTACAGGTCCACTGCCACGACTCCTGCCTTTTGCTAGATACTGATGTCAGCTTGCACTCATCCCATTGCGAGAGTGTGCAGGGTCAGGTCAACAGCGTCCTAGGTTTTAAGAGGAAATACCAATTCTCCCTTAACTGTGGAGACATGACAGATGTTGACTGGCTTCCAAGTCAATATCCTCTCTTCCTTCATTTTCACCTATGCACGTGGCATTTGGCCTTTCCTGCTAAGCTGAAATTACAGTYGCTGCATGGAAAACAAAGAGGAGGAAGTTTTCTGTGTGCCTTGCTGAGACTGTCCCTTAATTCATTTGCAGGAAGTGAATCCAAAGAAGTGTTTTACATTCTGATTTTTCTATTTTCCACCCAGGTTTGATTAGGTTTTTCACATTCTTCCTGCTATCTAGTCCTCTCACCCCAACAAGAACATTTCTAGTTTTCTGGAACAATTGTGTCAGGCTAGGCAGGTTGCTTCTGCTTGCCATCTCATTTGTACACAATCAGAGCAGCTTTCCAAAGGAAATCTGGTTTCACCACTATAAGTGGCAAAACTTCAAAGAAGGTACTAACTTGCACATGATTAAGCACAGAAGGGAAGTAATTCCCACATGCCCAGGCGGTCGCTGCAGTGAACACCTCCTGCCAGGCTGAATTTGTGCGTGGCTGAGGCAGCTTCAGTAGTGCTGGTCCTGTCATCRTGGGGCACTGCTGACCATTCACTCCACAAAGAGGCTCTCTACACAGCATCTCACAGCCTCGTCTCCTGCACCTCTTCCTCCGTCTCCTCCTGCAAGGCAGTGATTTGGGGYCGGGGTTTGCGTTTGCTGGAGTTCCTGTGGTGTGCTGGGAGTAGCTTAAGGCGCTCGGCRTGACTGATGGCCTGCCTGAAGGAGCTCTTCTCGTTCAGCAGCTTCTGAATGGATTCGTACTGCCGCAATTTATTGTCCTCGATTACCTGGAGAAACATCACTCCGTTAGATGGGCATTGGTGGTGCTGACAGAATTCAGTTAATGCAACTGAGGGAGCAGGGAAGAGACATGAAGACATGGCAAACATCTTCTAACAGAAAAAAACCCAATTCACAATTTCTAATTTCTACTTCACAATTTGTAATTACAACTACAAAAGCATACATTAAAATCTGAACATGTGGAGAAAGTGCTTCTGGCCCAAATTACACAGTGCCACTGCTTGGCTGGTTTCTCCTTGTGGCTTGGTTTTGCCTCAGAGTCCCTTTGCTGGACTTTCCCTTTGTTTTTCCAAGTACCATGGCATTCCCCTAGCACTGCTAAACCTCCCAGTTAATAAAGCRTTAACTGTTCTGTTGAAAGCAGAGGGAGAAGGCTGAAGGTGCCAGACTTTCTTTGCTTTCTCCTCACCAAACACGGAAGTGCTGCTCACCTCTGTTTGAAGGAGACAACAGGCTTGCCCTGTAAGGCTGTGCCAGTCTCCCCTGTCAGGCAGGAGACCAGGGAAAATCAGGCTCCTTTGCTGGCACTGCAATTCCAGCACATCTTGGGTAAGGGCACAGGTCTGATAGGAAAGAACTTCCAGCATCTCTGTTGCTAAAATGTGGTCTAGAGGTTGGGAAGCCTTTTCAGGGCACAGGCTGCCTGCCTGCCAGTGACTGGAGGTGAGGCTGAGTCCAGCACACCCAGAGGAGCAGCACAGCCAAAAGCATGTACAACCTGCCTGYTGACTGGCCTGCTTTAACTTCAGACTGTGCTCCTTCTGCTCTGCTAATGCACCCAATCAAATAGACACGGAAGACTAATGTTACACTCTGCTAATTACATTAAGATCCCCTCTTACAGAAGAGTGAAGAAAATACAGAGGGAGGAACCTCATTTTTAAGAACAATTTACAAAACTTGCCTTTTCTTTCCTTTACTAACCATTTTTATGTAACAAAGGAAATACTCCAGGACATCAGTATTAGTCCCCTTGATTAAATGTGAAGCAATRTTTACATGGCTTATTGAAAGAAATCAGCAACCCCTCTTCCCCAGGCATMTGCCTATTGGTCAACTCAGCTGTTTCTGCTTTTGCAGTTGTAAAGGTCTCTGAGATTATGAGAATTTGCTGGATCTCCTGAGCCAATCAAAAATATAAGGTACCAGGATCCACAGCTGGATAACTCACACAACTTTCCTTCTGGCTTAAACTTTCCTTCTTGTTCCTCCAGAGCGTGACCCAGCTCATCTGAACAGTTTTTGTGACAGCTCAGGTGAAAGAACAAACAAGAGCCTGCTGCTGTTCTGCAAGTAGGTAGATTGCTCAACTGCCCTGAATGATCCCCATCAATCCAGAAAACATCATCGTTTCYACTTGGTGTGTTTTGCATGTTCATCGAACGCAGTGAGACAAGAGTAAGCGAGCCTATGAGAAATGCTCACCAAAAATCTCTGGCACTCCAGCATGGCCTCCAGCCTGTGCTCGGAGAGTATCACCGTGCAGTTGGCAAACGCGTGCTTCAGGGTCTTCCTGATCACTTGGGAAGTTCTGAAAGGCAAGCARACTTTGGCATTCAGACTGCAATGTGCATGCCCATAACTGCACTGACACAGCCTGGCTGGGTGTTGCAGAGCTCACACAGAGGGACTCAGCTCTGCCATGCCCCAGCTGCATCTCTGCCATGAAAATACCCCTCAGCCACAGAGTTAAGGTTGTGACCAGGCTTCCCTATTCCCCCATGCAGTTACCAACATACATTACTGGAATCAGGTTTAGTAACAGGCCAGACAAGTTACAAAAGATCTCTTTAGATGGTGCTGCCTTACAGATTTTCTTATTTCGTATTAGAAAGGAGAACAAATGAACAAAACATACACAGGGTCCAGGTGAGCACTTGGTTCATCAAGCAGCAGGATTTTAGCTTTGCTGAGAACTGACCGGGCGAGGCACATCAGCTGCTTGTGGCCATGACTGAGGACACAGCCTCCATCCACAAGAACAAAATCGAGCTTGCCTGGAAATTGCTCTATTACAGACTTCAGCCCAACCTACCGGAGGGAAAAAAAAGGGCATGAAAAACTGGCAAGATATAGTTACTGCTGACTGTGGCAATCATTTACATGTTAAGGAAAGTTATTTTTGAAAGGAAAACAGGCCTCTWTGGTTACTAGCTTAAAAAGAAATTACCAAAATTTTTATGCTACATTATAGCACCAGAGAAAATAACCCTGGTCCCTAAGGCTGCTGTCTTCACAGTTCTGACAGTGTCTCCATTCACTCCTTTTGCTGCCCCAAAGCTCTTCTGCCACTACTAATGGCATGAGTGGCTTCCCTCTGGCACTGGTTAAAACCCATTTAGAGGGGTGCCCATGAAGCTGCTGCCTTTGCACCAGAAACCAGAGTCCAGCCCAGATGTTTTCTGACTGTTTCTTCCAGTGTTCCTGTTTGCTCTCATTGGGAGATTTACACCCCAAAGCAAAGCTTTCCATCTTCCACAGATCCAAATCAATTGTGCTCCTTGGCCTTGTCAATTTACAGAGACATTTTTATAAAATATGAGAACTAGGAAATATATGTAAGTTGCATGGCTCTAAAAAAGGCTATAAAATGTAATGAAACCTCAGGAATTTATGAAGGACATCCCACTTAGGTTTTTTAAATACTACTAATTTGCATTCCAGGAAAAGCAAGAATTTTTAATTCCTACTTCGTGCTTTAACTTTAGCTTTTACTTTTACCATACTAAACTGTGGTGCATGGGTATATGTGTTGTGTTTCKAAAGAGCTCAATCTTTCATTTATAAGCAAATTAAGGCCAATGTTTTGTTCCTCACTTCTCTTTTCAACACTCATTGTGTCCTTAATGAAATTTTCCATTTAATGGCTGGAAAATGTGCTTTCTTCTTAAAACTGCACAAGGTCTCTCGATGTACCCATAGGGTTCAGACAGGAGATGCAAAAGTAAGACTTAGGCTCACAAGTTGACACAAGTCTGACAGATTCAGGTGCTGAAATATGGGGGCAATAAAAAATGAAACTTCAGACAAGGCCTGTTCTCTGCAGTTGATTTCAAGGAGTGAAAAAAGCTGATGCTGCTCTCAGGAGGATCCTCTAAATCCTCATCATTCAACATGGGTCTGGGATAAGCTGACAGTTAATTTCTGTGCTGTGCTCCCCAAGTTACGCTGACTCACTGCCACTGCTGAGCCAGACTTCAAGAGCATGAACTTGGTAAACAATCCAATCACTCCTAGAAAAAAAGCATTACAGCTCTTTTTTTTCTTATTTGCTTTGCATTCTTACCCATGCAATGAAAACCTCAGTATCACATATGGATTTGCCAAACTGCATAATGATAAATACTTCAAAATAAAATCTTTTTCATGCCATTGTAAAAGAGGTTTAGCTTTTTAAAATCCCAAGCTCAATTCAAACACACACTGGAAACAATCCTCCAAAGCAGGAGAGCTTATCTTCTTCAAGAAAGGGGATATTGAGCCACACTCAATTTTTTTCCTGAGCCTCAGAGAAACAGAGAAACAACACTGAGCACACTCTTGCCTCCACTAGGACTGTCTGATGGCTGCTGTCACACCATCTAAACAAAAATGTCATGACATTTTTATTTACAGTAAATTACTCACAGAATGTGTCTATTTTCCTCTTTTCTAAATGTAGGGAAGAAATTAGAAAAATCCAAGAAAGCAAGCAGAGATGGAGTTAACCTCCTGGATGGGAAAGGAGGAAGCTTTCAGATTAAATACCACACTTGTGAACATATTTTGATACTTGAGACTTGCAATGAAAAAGGAAGATGGCACCAATTCATGGTTAAATCTGTATTAATTAGGTCATCTGAACCTTGGAAAAAGGCATCTGCTTTCTAGGCTGCAGCCCTTTCCCTCMTGTGACGATCACCTGACTTTTCCAGGGCATTAGAGATGCCTCTGCAACCCACAAAGTACCGTCAGAGCCAAGAGGTGGCACCTGACAGCTGCAATGTGTGGGAACCAGTGCAATATGGAAAAAAACTCTGGCCACTAAGCTTGGGAATGGGAAAAAAAAAAGTTGCTAAAACCTCAACAGAAAATTAGAAGAAACTCTTCAGGTTGGAAAATCCGACATTCCATGATTCTTATTTTACGTGGCAGAGGAGCCTCCATGACACAAGTAATAGAAAAGCCTGAATTCCTTGTCAGAGATGCTCCTCTCAGCTGGCTTCACATTGATTTGAGAATTGCAGTAATAAAYCTTTCCCTGCATTTGTTTCCTGAAACTCTACATAAATGTAAAATATGAGAATCATTTGAGCTACACTGCACWCTGCTGTAACCACATCACCAGAGGGAGACAAATAACACAGGACAGTTTTACCTCCTCTGCAACTTTCCATATTTCTTCATCATTCCACTGCCCATAAGGGTCCAAATTCATCCGAAAAGTTCCAGAAAAAATGAACACTTTCTGCAAGAAAAAAAAGACATAGAGACATAGGTAGATAGATAACATGAAACATTGTACAAAGCATTGGAAATTGTAGCTCAAGAAGCAGTGACTCAGACAAAATAAAATATTTGTTTAATCTCTTTTTACATGGGGTGGGTGTGTCAGATTCTGGTGCAAATGAGATTCTTCAGGGGACACTGAGATTGTTCAACATTTCTATGCTGTAAGGTAYACCTGCTTTTTGTAGCAGGGAGAACTTGCCCTCAAAGAATTTAAGTGCCTTGTTGAGAAATATTACCATTTACTTGCTCTTTCCTTGTAAAGACGCAACAAATACCAAGAGGAAAAATCTGAGACAATTATTTTCTTCCATCTTTTTAAACAAAGTATTTATTTAGAGAAGATGTGTTGAAATGCCAGTGATTCACAGCCACCTAAGTTCCTGGAGTCTTGGTGGTCAGACTCTACCAAGAACAGTCAAGGACTAGCTGTACCAGCAGAAAATAACTAAGAGAATACACTTAGCAAGTGCTTTCTCAGAGTTTGGCCTGTCTACCACAACTTCCATCCGACCCAGCCTGGGAACTTGGCATTCTTTCATCAGATTTCAAAGTGATTTATAGACACATTTATATTAGTAATTGAATTATGATTAATTAAAAGCGCAAGTATTGCAGAGAAAARTAAATTACATTAATTAATTTGCTTGGTTAACATATGTATGCCATTGCCAACCAATTTGGTGTAAAAGAGAAGGAAATAACTGATTCCAGAAACCAGAGGAGAAAAGCAGCTGCACTGTGGGATGGATTTAAGTGCAACCATACCTTCAGCACATGGCCAGCAACACCCTGACCGAGCTGCAGCACCACACGCAGCTAAAAATTAATCACTGAAGTACTTTTTGTAGAGACAAGGGGAAAGGCTAGACTCTCTCCTTGGTAATTGTTATTGTTAATAACAGTGAAAGCTGCAGTGAAGTACAGCACAGTCCTTTTCCCATGCCCTGCACTGGGCAGGTGGCCCGAGTGGGGTGACATATTTGCAGCAGGATCAGGTTCTTCCAAGTAGTGGGTGCGGTGGGAGCAGCAATGCTGTGGAAACAGTGTCAGATGTGGGTTTGTTCACACTGCGAGCCCGTACATTGAACTGATGGAARAGGTGTTTTCATTTCTCAGTGGTGAAGAATAGTTAACTGAACAAACCAGTTTTGAAGAAGATAGGGCTGAATWACATTCCTGCTGAAGTGCACCAGGCAGGGCAATAAAGGGTACCTACTGCTATTTCTAATAACTGTGCTTTCAAGAAGCAGGGCACTAAAAGCAAGTTATTCCCAAAAGAAGGGTTGGTTTTTCATCCCCACAAAGTAAATATTTAATTGTCCTGAATTCTGGTACTTCTCTTTCCATTTCAATGCCTCCTTCCTCCCAGCTCATTAGAAACCATATAGGGTTCACTTTGTAAATACCATGTGAGTCACCTGGGCAGTTTAGRGCCTACTTGAAGAGAAGGAAAAACAAATGTCTCCACATTCTTAAAAGCTAGAAGTCTAAAGTGAAACAAAACCGAAAGTGAATACGAARGACTTAAATTGTTCATGAATATGGAAGAAGGAGAAATAAGGAGAGCATTGGAAGGATGAATGGATGGCTGCATAGACTGGCAGCAAATCTGGAATAATTTCCTTCTTGGTCACTTGTTCAAATTCCCACAGGATGATAATGGGTGTGATTATACTACAAATAGTTTTGTAGACCTGACATCCACCCACAAGCAAAACATTTGGAAATGTAAACATGGTCATGTTTATGTTCTGACCACCCTAAATATTGCAGTTCAACCCTTCTGAAGGGCATTAATCCCCATCAGTGGCTACAGCCCCTGAGTGTTGGGGTGTGTGGCAGTAAGCTTCCTAAGGGATTTATGCATTATGTGGAGAATCAAGACCCTGGAGTACCTCAGGAAATGAGTACAGAAGAGTTAAGGATCAGCTGGCAAGAGGCTGCTAAGGAGTGAGAGTATTCTGGCTGTGAGTAGCTGCTGCAAACTGTGTGCTGGTCCTCAACAAGGCCCACAGAGCCTTCCCCCAGGGCTGGAGAGCAAATGTGACATCAGCTGGAACCAGGCAGCAGCTGCATGCACAGAGAAGTTACGAGTAACAGCAGCATGACCTCTGTGTGGCCTCATCTGCTTTGTCTGTGTTATAGCAGCAATATCAACATGAAACAAAAGCAAGTTACTATGTGAGTGCTTTACTATTAGGTGCAAAGATAAAGGATTTGTTTTCATAAATGTCCTTTAGGGACTTTACAATAAAAACCTGAAAGGTTTTTGGGACCAGTTCTGTGACATTCTCCCTCGAAGATGCCAAAACATCTGCCTCCCATAGAGGTTACTGGTAAACATAAGTGCTGTGCTTCTGGCAACACTGAACCCATGATGTAGAAAACAACCTATACACTGCCTGAAATTAGCAGTGGGGCTGCTAATTAACATYCCCAGTTGCTCCATGCATGGGTCTGATGCAGCAGGCTCTCCTCAATACAGTGATGCTGCYTCATCCCAATGCCCTGCAGGAACCCAGGCTCTGCAGGACCCTCTGTGGGAGCACCTTGGCCCTGCTTGGCTGCACCAGGCAGGAGTGTGTTGGCTGCTGAAAAACTGGACTACAAASATCAAAACTGCAAAATTTCACTTTTTCAATAAAATAAAGAAGCAAAACAAATTAGAATTTTTTTTTGCTCAGCTGGCAGTCCTGCCAACTGCAGAAAATTTTTTCTCCATGTTAAGCTTGATTTTAACTCTATATGGAATATTTACATATAGAAATCAGTGTGAGATCCGCTAGGATGCATGGAATAACACTCAAGAAAAATTCAGAAKTCATCCCCTTCCTTGGAGCTAGCAGCATCTCATGGGTCTCAGATTTCTCATAACTTAATTTAACTGGAAATCAGCTACGGTTCTCCTCTGTTCAAAGACAAATTTCTAAAAGCATATATATTCTCAATCTGACTCCAGTAAATACTTCAGGATGCAATGATGACATTTTCAAGAAAGCCTCAGTGTTCTGAAACCAAATGCAGCTGGAAATTCTCACTCTAGAAATGTAGTAGGCAAACACCTGCAAGAAGAATCATCAGGAAGGCTGGTCCAGGAAAAAGGGATAATGGGTGCAAAGGTACAGCCTGGTATCAGTGGAGTGATTGTTTTGTAGGAGAATGGCAAACAGCCGTGGGAGCAGCGCTGGGCAGGCTGCGCTTCAGCAGCGCGGCCATGTGAGTGTGAGAAGCTGCAGGAGGGAACTTCCTTGTAGGTGCTTCAGGAAATATATTGCATATGATTTAACYACTCACACCCCTGCCAGGCAGTGACAGCCAGATTTGAGATATGAAAGGAACAAGGGGTTTGCCTTTGCTCCTGCTCAGCATGATCCCCAACCATCCTGCAGGTGGTTCCCACACAGTCTGCATGGAGCGGACAGCAGTGCCTTAGGATGCTCCATGTGCTATAGGGCTCTGCGTTAGGGAGGTTCCCAGAGAGGAAAAGCACTTCTTTTCTACTACATGGGAAAACTTAGGGTTAAGGAAGAGAAGGATAGGGTTGGAAAGTTTTCAGGAGGAAGCATGCCTCAGGTAGAGCTCCATTCTCCCTTTGTTGGTGAAGCGTGTCCTGGAGACAGCGAATCCCCAGGTGTTGCTGTAGGTGAGCCTCCAGGAAAGCAAAGGCAACTTTTTTTCCATGAAGCTGTAGCTGAATGGYAAAGAACAAAAGGCTCCCTTTGTTCTGCTGGGAAAGGCAGGGTGGCATATGCAATTTCTCTTTCCTGCTGGGAAAGTGCTGCTGAAAACTTCATTTTGTTCTGAATGTGGGAACTTTTGAGGTATAATGTGCAGTTCTTTGCCAAGGCTTTGGGACAAGTGCTGCGTGCTGAAGCATGCAAACAGGCTGGCAACTCTCATGACCTTACAGAGAATGGATGGCTGGGATTATCTGGCATTGATCCATGTATCAGGGACTTGCAAATGTGGACTGAATGTGTAATTTTAACAATGTCTTAACAAYGCACCTCACTARCAGAAGGGCAAGTGATTCTACTCATGAAATAAATGTCTCTGGCATTTTGCTGATGGCTGCAGAATGATGTTTTCTATACCACTGGTGACTCTATAGTGAGTACTCAGCTATGAGAACTGTTTCTCCTATTTTTCACTGGGACAATGACATTGTTTGTTACCAAGCATTCAGATTCCTTCTCAGTCCATGATTTCCCAAGGACAGCTGGAGATGGAAGGCAGAAACTCTGCTGGGCAACCACATCCCAAAGGGCAAAAGGCTGAGAGCAAAAGGATGACTGTGGGAGAGATAAGGAAACCCCTTCCAATACAGAAATTTATACTTGGCTGTACAGGACAATTTTCCAGTGCAGACACAACTTATACTGGTAAAAGCATCCTTCATCCTATAGAGCCATGCTTTGGAGGACAGCTGTACAACATACCTGTCCTCCAAACTAAATACAAGCAGCTGCACATGCAATTCACTGCACAGCTGCCTCGAACTGAATGGGGRATGTTTTTCCATCCTGGTGATCAACAATCCCTCTGCAAAACTGAATCAGCTGCAATAAAGAAATAGAAGCGTAAAGGAATAGATAGAAGTGGAAATGTTGAAGAGAGAGCAGAAATGGTGACAAGATGTCAGTTATCAAATGGCAGCTTGCCAAGAAAGCCTCAGCTCAGCAGGCAGTGTGTGACTGGTAGAGCACAGGTAAGAAATTAATCCAACCAGTGGACTCAACACCACTCTTTTAGGCTGTTTGTTGAGGATGTAATGTGGCAGTAAAGAAAAGGTCTGTTCTGACAAGGTCAAAGTGCTAAAAAATTGCTGCCTCTGAGGAAATTTCAGAGTATGAAATACACAGAAAAAAGAATTGTGCCTGCTTTGCATGCATAGTAGAAATAAATGGTACTGGGGCTACTATGGAATAACATATTTGAAAGAGAAGCTATCTCAACTCAAAACTGATCATCACAGAGAAAAACTGAATCCTGAGTCCTCCCTGTGTTTGCAAAATCAAGGCCATTTTTCTTCCAGCATGAACATTTCAGTGTCTTTTAACAGTGACCAAAGTTGTAAAACTGACATTTTTATGTTAAACTGTCCCAGAGTCTCTCCAACTATTTTAAAGTGCCTCATGTAGTCAGTGCAACAACAGCTTTATACTACACAGACACTCACTTTCTAAACTTTCTAAGCTTTCTATGACAGTAACCACCTTTTTCAGATGGGAGATATCAGGGAACAAACCAAATTTTCACAGAAACAAGATGGAAACAGCTTTACTGTGGGGACAGGATAGGGAGAATAGCACAATTAGGGTTTCACAGCTAGCAGCTAAAAGGGGGTGGATGCTTGGTCACCTTGGTCAGCCCACTCCTTGTGGGTGTGTCAAGGACGAGATCATCCAGGGTGACAGAGGATCAAACCATGTTTTTCAGTCTCTGGGGCTAGTAGCCACTCCTCAAGGATGGCTAAAGGCAGGACAGACTGCATGGCCCCTCGCAGTGTGGCARGCTGATCTGCAACTGTTCTCCCACTGCCCCCCGGTACTACGAGCGATTCATTGCTAAGAGTTACCTGAATTAGTCTGCCACAGTCACAAGATTTCCAARGGAATGAACAATCTCTTCTGTTATGGAAGAGATTGTGTGTTTTGAAACTGAAGAACTATCCAATTTATAACAGTCAAAGAAGAAATGGTCAATATGTGTAACTCATGTTTTAGTGTTGTTGGAAAGGATACACAACAAAAGTACAAAAGTGTTAAAATTTGCCATTCATTGCACCACTTTTCAATCCTACACTTAGGGTGAGCAATCACCTTTTAGAGTTATTGTATGCAGACAATAAAGTTCATTTTTTAGACAGATAATCCACAGCTGTAACTAACATAAGACACTGTCCAGGTGTGGGGACATTGGCAAGGCACTCACAAGCCCTAGGTTTACCTGTTTGCTGTCAGTCTGCCAGAGAAAASAGGCAATGCACACTATCCACATATTAACCACAATATGTGATGTAAAGCTTCAGAAAACAGTAGCTGAGAAAATACTAATTGCATTTTTTTTCTTCAGGTAGCACTATCTTATTCAGAATCAACCTGCAAACTGTCWCAGAGAGGCAGCAATAAGCAGCCCAGAAACACTTCTGAACGTGCTGTACCTTCCCATTTCTACGAGAGTTCTTGTGGGAGTGGCAGAGAAACCCTAAAAATGTAAATTTTGCTGTGAATCATTGCTTCTATGCAAATCCCCTTTTCTAAAATCTGTGTTTAGTTTGTTTTTCAGCATCCAATAACAAACATCTTAAAAGCAATTATGTACATATGGATACAGAACCAATGAAAATAAAGGCACAAAACCATAAAATAATCTCCTTACCTGAGGAATCACTCCAAATGCTTTTCTCCACTGCTGCACACTGACTGTGTTCCAGGAGACACCATCAATCTGGATATCCCCTTCCGTATTCAGCAGTCTTAGAAATGCAAAAAGTAAAGTGCTTTTTCCTGAACCTGTTCTTCCTAAAAGGCCCACCTGCAATGCAAATCACAAAAGCAAACATTTAATACTCTTCACATAATAATGACAGACTAAGGCAAAAACCTTAGAGGTCTCAGCAGTGAAGAACAGTCCAGATGTATCTCAAAAGCATAGCACATGTCTTTCATATGAGAACGATAAGACCTTACAGCAAGGGCTGAATCAAACAGTGGGCAGAGCCTTCTTCGTTTTGGTAGAATTTACTAGATGAATAATCTGATAGCCTACCCTTAGCCTCCTCTCATCAGCAGTATCACATCCAGAAACTAAAAACTAACTAGGGAGTGCACTTGAACTGGCTGAAGGCTTGTAGTGAATGGGGCTRCAAAWKGATGGTGTCAGTCTTTAGCAGTTATTCTTCAGGGCTCAATCCTAGGGACAGTTCTCTTCCAYGTATTCATCAATGATCTGGATGCAGGAGTCAAATGCACCATTAGCAAGGCTGCTGATGATAGCAAACTGGGAAATGCTGTTGACTGTCTTGAGGACACGAAGCCTTGCAGAGGCATCTAGGTAGTTTGGAACATTGGGCAGTGTTWAATTGCAACAAGTCCAAATGTCAGATYCTGCACCTGGGATGGAGCAATGCCAGGCACAAGKATAAACTGGGAGAGGAGTGGCAGGAGAGCAGCCCTGCAGAGAGSGATCTGGGGGTGCTGGMTGACWGCAAGRCCAGCCTGGGTCGGCAGGGAGTGTCTGAGCAGCCAAGAGGGCAAAGCCCATCCTGGGGTGATCAAACWCAGCAGCACAGCMRGGCAAACGGGGTGATTATCAATGTAGTGAGCACTGGAGCAGCCTCCCCGTRAGTGCTGTGAGCAGCTCCAGGCTCCAYRGGWCAACAAGGATGGGAAGGTGTGTGAATGCATCCAGAGAAGGGCAGMAAAGCTGGWSAAAGGRCTGGAGGGAAGGTCCTGTGAGGAGCRGRCAGGAACTGGGACTTGTTTGGAGAGGAGGTTGAAGAGAAACTGATCTTCCTGGGATCCAGCGAGAGGACACATGAAAATGGTTCAAAGCTGCACCAGCGGAGGATCAGACTGGACATTAGGAAGYATTTCTTTACTGATGGTRGAACACTGGAACAGGCTTCCTGGAGAGGTGATCGATGCCCCAAGCCTGTCAGTCTTTAAGAGGCCCTTGATAACACACTTTAACTCTTGGACAGCCATGAAGTGGAAAGCAGTGGGACTAGATGATTATTCTATTCTATTCTATTCTATTCTATTCTATTCTATTCTATTCTATTCTATTCTATTCTATTCTATTCTATTCTATTCTATTCTATTCTATTCCATTCCATTCCATTCCATTCCATTCCATTCCATTCCATTCCATTCCATCCGTCTAGCAGAGGAGAGCTCATCCGTTTCCTGCTTGGTGCACAAGTCCTTACCTATGCAGGGGAGACAAATCCTCTCCAGTTAAAGGAGCATCTGAGTCCAGGGTTCATCACCAAACTTGAATCACAGCCCTTGAGAAAAGGGTTTTTGTTTTTATTGCTCTACCCCCTCTCTGTACAGTACAAAAGTATCTTTGATTTTCCCTACTCCACTGCTTCAAGGGATTTTCCAGGAAGTAAATCCACCAGACTGCAGCAGCACAAGGAATCTCCAYGTTCCAGGGATCACAGGTGCTCCTCCTTCAAAGGCAGAGTGGTTTCAGCTAGTGCTACAGGAAGCCACAGCTCTGGATTCAAAATTCTGGTCCCCTCAAACTTAAAAGATGAAATATTCAGTTTATGAAAACCAAGGTAGATCTACCAAACCTGGCAGAGACTGGTGCTGTCCAAGTTAGGAGCGAAGATGTGCTTTGTGTCAAGGCCAGGGAGCTGTCACTGAACCTGTTTCCTCATTCACATGTGACAGTTAAAACCTTCYCTTCATCCTTATGGCTCCAGCTTAGGAGATCCAAGCCTTTCTTCCCATTCCACCAAGGATGGGCCTTTAGCGTGAACTTGAAGCAAAGCGTTAAACTTCTACCTAAATGCTGTCCCGAAAGTGAAGCCCTTTCCTAAACGCAACCCCAAACACGCATGAAGATTAATTGGAGGTTTGCCAACCCTCTAAAGAGCAGAGCTGTCTGTGGTCTGTAATGAATGGCTCAGGGTGGCGTRGAGCCCTCATGGAATGGGTGGGACGGCACCTCCACCCTCCGGCGGCGGAGCCAGCGGTGCATTACCCTTGGCACGGCAGCCGGCATTCTTCCGTGCCCTGCCCCATCGGGTCAGGCTGTCCCAGCACCTGCATTCACCAGAAAGCTTCCCTCTCCACAGCAGGAGAATGCCAGGCACAGGAACACAGCTTGGAAAACTGTTGCATATGTATTTTATCCTAAATTATTTCTGTTCTTCAGTTACTTTACAAGATACTTTGTTTTGCAATAATTTCACTTGCAAAACCTTACTGGACTCAAAATCCCCTTTAGTCATTGAATTGSTTTATGACAATTCTATGCTTAAGCTTAATCGAAGTCAGAACAAACACAACAAAACAGTATCTTACCCTCTGCCCTGAACTTATTGAAAAGGAAATGTTTTCTAGTACAGCAGCTCCTCCTTCACCGTATTTGGCTGTAAGGTCTTTCACAGTCATTTGGCCCCCAGATGGCCAGTTCTTCTCTTCCTTTGCATGCCTGTTTTCAATTACAAGGGCATCTGAAAAGTGATTTTTCTTCTCTGGCTTGATGCTTTTTGTCTCTTCTGTTGGCATGTCAATGAATTTAAATATTCGTCCRACAGACCGCATCTACAAATCAAAACAAACAATATTCTAATTGTTATTCATACTAAACTACCAAAACAAATGAAATAAAATTGTTTCTAATGCCTAGTCAGAGCAGTGAGTCTTTTTGCAGTATAACCTACTGTCATGAGTAACCCAAAACATTATTGTATTCCGTACCTATCGGTACCCACAAAATGTCTCTTCACTTCTCCTTCACTGCTCAGGTGGTCAGAAAACATTTCTCTTTTAATGGACAACTTCACTGCTATAATTTTATTAATTTAAAATCTAAAGAGCTCCTTTTCCTAGCTGCTTTCCCCACTCATTTATGGAGGGATACTTTAGATCCTTTTTTCTTGAGGACTAAAGAAAATTCAGGTTCAGGCCTCTTTCTTAATATGTGTTCTCCTTCTCCAAACACCCCAGTTCAAATCAAACTTTCCTCTCTGACCAGAAGGTACAGCATTCTGGATGATGTTTCTTCACAAGGACATTATACAAATGTGTTGGTACTTCCCCATCTATGTTAGGAATATCTTTATTAACATATCCTAGGATCATACATTATTTTCTTCACAGTCACATCTTATAGTCCACCTTTGACTGAGAGGTGGTCAGCCAAGCTTTCCTCCATTTTAGCCATTTCTAACCAAGATCCTCACAACTGAGGTTWTTTTTAGCAGTCCCAAAATTCAAGCCTTTGCACTTGTGTTATTGAAATCTATTTAATATCTGCCATGTGAGRTCACCTGATTCCAGCTCCCAGGATCCTTTATGCCAACACCCCCTTTCAGATTTGTGCCTTTGGCAGATTTCTTCAACACATTTTTTTATTTTGTTGAGAGCATTTAAAAAAGATTAAAATGAGCTTAGTCAAACAAACTAGTCTTTGTTGAGTAGCCTCCCTACAGGTTAATACTTASAGCTTAATGCCATTTCCTTTCTGACCAACTCATTAACTAATTCACAGTTCTTGCAATAATCCTGATATGCTTCATTTATATAATTCCTGAAACAGAGCCACAGCCAATGCTTTCCTGAAGGCAAATGAGATCTACTACATTACTTTTGCCTGGAAAATAAATCAAGCACAGTTATGAGGGTAGTGTGATGCAACCCTAATGTTGGCAAACCTAAGTGAGTCCAATCTATAAGCATCACATTTTTAATTAACTCTTAAAAACAGTTTCTAAAGATTGCTGCTCTCAGACTAACAAACTGATGATGGTGTCAATGACTTCTCATTTCTCCTTCTCAACAAAAATTGTTATTTTATCACATGCCACCACTACTGCCAGCTTGTTTTATTTATTTGAAGTGGCCATTATCAGACTTCCAGCTTCTCAGTCAGATGTTCCTGAGCACTTGGATGGGAGGTCTGCTCCACCTGATGTAGATGGCATTGTTCCAGTCTGGTTTCATAAGTTTAAGCAAAATGTCCAACCACAGAACCCAATGTCCCCATAGCTGAAGACTCTGATTTTAGATGGACAGACTCACAGGTGGCGCATGTGTCCCTCCACAATCTGTACAGGAAATTCAGGGAGACCAGCACTCTAGCTGCTTTTGCATGTAATTCCCACTCAGGTATTATAAATCCCATTTCTACCTTCTGCTCCACTTTCAAGTGCACAGCTTAAACACTGACTTTTAAATGAAAATTAAGATCAAGTATTTTTTTCAGCTTTTGAGTCATTTGCAAGCCTAACTCTGATTTTGTCAAGTTTCTCTTCTCTATCTGCTTCTTGACCTCCAACACACAGCTTGTTTAGGTTAACATTAAAATCCATTCTGTAGAGGCTGCAATTTCTAACATACTGCCAGAGGATGTTGTTCATGCTRGCAGTCCCATAGTCTTCAAAATGTCCTGTTTTTCTCCTGTTCAGGAAACAAGTTTCAGCTCCTTACTTGCAAATGTGACTTCCCTTTACATTCAGGTACCTAAGTGTCCCAGTCCAACTAACTTAATTAATTAGTTAATTGTTTTACAAAAAAAACCTTGTTCCTGTAAACAATATCTATTGTCTMATCTGCATTCTCAGAAATGTGTTTCTATTTCCGTGGTGTCATGGAAAACCCTTTGTACATCTTTAACTGCTTTTATATTCCTTCTGAAAAGYGCTTCTACTTGACGTATTATGTACAATTCCTTTTTGCTCTTCAGTCCTGATTGAAATATATTTAGGTAGATTTTCCATGTGGAAGCAAATGCAAGGGAATACTGGGATCACAGCTTACATCTCAGCATCTTGAAACACAATTGTGACAGAAGTTTTAAAAAGCATGCTAACACACGAGCCTATGAATTATAATTTCCATCTCAACCACTGTACAAGATGGAAAAACGTGGTCATCATCATGTCAATGTCCTTATACCAGCTCATTTTGGTGATAAAACAGGAAGACCTTGGATCAGGCTGACAATTTTCTCCATGTCTGATTGTCAGTAGTAAATCCCACAATGAGCATCGTGCAGTCATTTTAATTGGTGTTTGATGGTAGCTTTGTTTTCAGAAATCTTAGCTTCATAAAAAATATAGCCATTTCAGAAATGAAGGTCTTGGTTTCATCAAGAGCTGTGAATGTTTGTATAGGCAGAGATTGCCCATAATTGCCCAAGAGATCACTACACACTGTCTAATATCTGCTATGAAGGCAGTTGGGTGAAGTGCCTTTCTATACAAAAGAAAATTTCATCCCACTGTCCTAGCTCCCCTGACAGACTTATCAGTTATGTATGCAGATATTTTAGATAATTTTATAATATTAAAATMAATTCTGAATCCATTGTTCTATACCTTGAATAATGTTTTCAATCTGGGCAGAATGTAGCACGTCAGTAACATTTACAAAAATATCCATTCTTCCTTTCACAGGTAGAAATATTCTGTCATTCATAATGACAGGTACAGGATAGGTGACAGCAAGTTTCTTATCCATTAATCCCATCAGCACTGTGCCAGCTATATTCACATTCTTTAACTGGTACTTTTGAATAAAGGAGTATATTTACTATTTCCATCCCTGTGTCTATAGCATAGTACACTATTTTTAGCCTTGTCTAATTGTATTTTACTGAGATTTTAATAACACTGGAAATGCTTTAATTTATTTTCTAATTAATACCACTTAAACTCTTCTTAACTTTGAAGAATTGATAATATAATTATATAATGCRTATTTCCAGAAGGTGGAAGAAGTAATTCTGTTACATGTGAGCCAGTACAGTTAATTGAATCAGGCTCTGCATTATCTTCTACTAAAAAGAGAGCAGTCACTCTCTTCAGACAGACACACACAGTATTCAATGGCTCTGTTGCAAGACATCACCTCCTCACACATGAAGTCACTGCCAAAACTGGCTCTGTAGGCAGACCATATGGTTTTACCGAGGTTTCATATCATCTGCTGGTACATTTTGGGTGCACTTCTAGGACATTTACTTCTCTTCTGAAGTGCAAAAATGAAATATTTAGCTCATGTTAAACTTGCACTGATTTTTTTCTCTTTTTCACACTCCTGTGCAGGCAGAAAAGAAAATGTTCTAAAAACTTTTTCTTCCTTCTGTTCCATTCAAATGACCAACACCTCACTTTGACGACTGCCATTCTGAAGCCAATTTTACAGTCAAGTAATTACTCAAACTTTGGAAATTAATAGTGTTCTCAGCTTTTCTACTAACAGTAGTAAAGATCATGTCCTAGATTTAAAAACCATTAAAATTAAACAGGTTAAAGGAGAAATAGTATGGGAATATAGAAACATGAAAATCAGCTGTCGAAAGCACGTTTTTTACAGTTGTATTTTTAAATTTGGTCCTTTTCTCTACCCTGTGTTACTTTAATTCTTCAGCATCCCTGATGTACAGGGTGGGGCACAGKAAGGTTTAGCAAGTTTAGTTTTAATATCTCCTTAGGGGATTCTTTTTATATCTCCTTATGTAATAATCTTGGCAACAGTAAAAGCATGGCATTTTCTCTTTCCCTGATAAAAGGAACTGTCCTTCACAGTTAAAACACTGCAGGATATACATCAATGAAAGAAGAGGTTATAAAGCATTAAAATAGTCCACCGGGACTAGCTAATGCTTATCTGTGAAAGCAGCACTTACTGAAAAAATTAATTTCTTTTTCCTTATGAGGGAAAAAAAGCTCTAAATACTACAAGGCTGCCTAGAGAGATAAGAAAAGACTGAAAACCAACTAGAGGGATATTAGCAGAAGTTATCAAAGTGAAACAATAAAACTAGCTTAATTCATAGCTTTAAATAAAACAATTGATAACTGCCAGAGTGACCACATACATTTGGGGAGGAAGGAGGGGAAGGGGGAGGAGGGGGGTGGGGTTTTGGGGGGGTTGTTTGTTTGGGTTTTTTTTAATAAAGGCAGATCAGGTAAAATATCAGGGCTGTAGAGAATGAAATGCCAAAACCATTAAAACATGGGGTATTAAGGGACACTAGGGATTTTTACTTTAAAGCCAAACCTGTTCAAAGAAAGTATCTGTGTATGTAAAAACCAAAACCAACCCAGGAACTCAGATGGCTTCAATCTGTATGCCAGTGCTATGGAAAGCTCAAGAGGGAGATTGTGTGGAATGAAGTCAAATTCGCCACCTACCCATCTTTTTGGCCAGCAATTGTTCCAGCACATTTTTTCCTTTTTCATGTGATCTTGCTTCCCTTTTCTCCTGTCTTTCTGTCCTTTTGTTTGCCCTTATTTCACTAATATCCTGTACCTTGTAYATCTTGTAAAACAACTCAGTAGGAGCTTCATATTATGCATTAAGTTCAGCAGTTTCTCCTTTGCACATGGCATTCAACCCCTTGCAGAAAGCCCCAGCTTCCATGACAGCCAAAGGCTGCTGCCTACAAATGTGCCATTCACTCAGGGATGCTGGTGTGYAGGGCAAACACAGCTCTCACAGCTGCTCAAGGAAGGGCAGGAGCGATGGCATCTACAGCAGTGTGTGTGTGTCTGTAACTGGAGATGTGGACATGTGTCAGTCCTGGTCAATCTGCTCCTGTGGGGAGCTTCAAACTGCCTCCTGAGACAAAAATAGAGTCGGGCAAACCTTTGCAAAACACCTCTAGCCAAATAATTGTAAAATAATTTGAAGAGGGAAGTGCTAAATGCAGAGATTACAGAGTARGAAATAATACATCTGTATCACTCCRKGAAGTAGTTTTATTTTCWTGACACCATTACACTATTTTTTCTGCTTTTGAGTGTCAGGAAAACCATCTTGCCAGTAATATCTATTAGTTTCTAATCTGGGATACCTAAAAATTAATGTAATGAGGTTGGGCAGTTATCCACTGCTTAAAGATGTTCAGAGGATGCACCTATAAATAAACTCATGGATCTTAGAAAGTTATCAATAATAAAACAAACATAACCAGTGCTCCAGTACAGTGCTTTGTCTTAATACAGAGCAGAGTACTCAGAAATGTCTAGAGCAATTTGGGGCTTCCTTTTCAAGGGAAAGGGAGTTACTTTCTTATCACTACTAGTAGATGATATTTTAACATTACTGCACTTTTAAAAAGGGGAAGTTCTTCTTTATTAAAACACTGTTATGTCCAGCACCCTCTGAATCCCACAGGAAGATTTCCTGTTGCTCTTGTGAAACACCTTCAGTTTGTATTAAGCCATGCAATGTGCACACATGATTTGTATACAGATTGCTATACTTAGAGTGATCATATTCTGCCCTACAGAGGATGGAGTTTACAAACGAGAGCCGAGTGAATGAATATTGTTGTTGCTGTTGTGGTTTTGGGGGCTGACCTCCTAGAGAGCAGGAGTGYAGAGAAGGACCTGGGAGTCTTGGTAGGTGACAAATTGAGCTGGCAGTGTGCCCCTGTGGTARCGTGGGGTGCATCAGGAAGAGCATGGCCAGCAGGTCAAGGGAGGAGATCCTGCCCCTCTTCTCTGMCCTCRTGAGGTGAYATCTGGAGYGCTGTGTCCAGTTCTGGGCTCCTCAGTACAAGMAAGACAAAGAGCTACTGGAGAGAGGCCAATGGAGGGCCACAAAGATCATTTGGGGTCTGGAGCTCCTCTATGATGGGGGCCGCAGCAGCTGGCCCTGTTTAGTCTAGAGAACACTGAGAGGGGATCACAAAGCATAAAAATATCTCAAAGGCAGGTATATCAGTGGGATGGTACCAGACTCWTTTCAGTGGTGACAGGACAAGAAGCAATGACCATAAACTGAAACACAAGAAGTTTCACCTCAACATAAGGAAGAATTGTTTCACATTGAGGATGACAGAACACTGGAACAAGCTGCCCAGGGAGGTCATGGTGTCTCCCTCTMTGGAGACATTCAAAGCCCACAGGTTCCTGAGTCACCTGCTCCAGTGCTCCTGCCTTGTCAGGGCAGTTGGACAAGATGCTCTCCAGAGGTTCCCCCCCAACCCTATCAATTCTGTGATTTACCAACACCACATTTTATATCATTATTAGTCACATAACTACTATTCAGCATGTCTTGCAGTTACAGCAATGAAGCCCTTYCACAAAATACTTCCCCTTCAACACAGGCTGTTCTAACCACAAAGAAAGAGCTGGCATAAAACATTTGGTGGATAGGAAACACCACRGCATGGCCATCAGCTTTCTCGACTGTCAGCAGTCATGTGTGTAAACAAGGGATTAGATGCTRTAAGTGGTTAATTCCCAGTTTTGAGGCTCTTAATTATTTCCCTCAGGATTAATCTAGTTCAATCATTTGTTTTAAAAAAAATTAATGTTGGACTTGCAAATATTGCTTCACTGTCAMCATCTGCTCCAATTATGTATTTTTAATATGACGATTCATTTCAACTAATCAGGATTTAATGGACTCTAAGATCTGCAGCAAATTCTTGTGTTTTCCAATACTGAAATGTAATGGTTGGCTTGAGAAGCTAATTTAGGGTTCAGAGAGGGTTAGACTGGAGGGGGGAGATCTTTCTTCAGAATTTGTTTTTGAGTTTATGACTATGTTATTTTTTACACAAATTCCATCTAAAATAAATCCTAGAATTAATAAAGTGGAAAGAGATCAGGAACTATTACATTTTAAAACAAAATATAAAATTTTTATACATTTAAGCTAATGTATGATGAAAACTGTAAGAGCAAACATATACTTTTATGACTTTCCTTTCTGTTTCTCATACCTTAACAAATAGGTGATGAGAAGCTAATTTTGTAAAATACTCCATTTTAAAGCCAATCCTACCTATTRAAATTATGTACAAATAAAAAGCCTTATGTCAAAAGGCATTTAACRTAAAAACAGCAAAAGACTCCCAGGGAAGCCAAGGACAGATTTTTAAATCACTATTGATAACGGGTGAAAGCAACYCAAAAAACATCCATCGTGATCTGCTATGCAAAGCTGTTAAGTAAATCAAGGAAGGTATATTCTATATATATATACAGGAAATACAATCATAACAAAACAACCCCAAGCCTTTTTGAGGTCTTCCTATCACTGCTACATCTGCAGTCTAAATCCTCAAATGCAAGTATTTGCTGTTGCCTATTCCAGGCCAGGAAACATCTGATCATGGAAAAACTCAGTTTGTGCTGTCCCAAAGCCAGTAGTTTGTTATCAAAGGTATGAGGGAAATTTTCTGACACATCTGCATGATATTCAGCTCTGAAGATAACTCACTGCACAACCATAATCAACAAAATAAGGCAATTCCYCAAAAGAAASTGCAGCACGGTRCATTTTATGCTTACCAAACTATCAACATCTATGCTTGAGTTTACTGCCCACTGCAAGGTCCCCATGATGTTCATAGCTAAAGTAAGAATAATTCCAGCTGTACCTGGTCCATCACCTGGGAGAGAAAAACACATTCAATTTCTATGCAAATAAAAAGCCATTRGAAATCAGAAAATTAGCATGTATATCTCAAAATGCATATTCATACACTCTCCTCTTTTTTTTTTCATGGAGAAAACATGCATTTTTTTAATCATAAAAAGGACTAAGAGCTAAATCATAGTTGAACACCTGACTTTGGCACTGAATYCACTGTTAACCCTAATCTTGCTTTGGCAGAAGAAAAAATTAAAATCTTGGTGYTTGCACTGTAAACAGAATCAGGTCTCTGCAATCTTGATTTGACTTCCCTTTTTCTGACACACACGAATCTGTGAAATTACTCTTATCTGACTAAAACACCACACACAGCTAACAACTTTAAAATTCAAGATGGCTTACATTTTAATTTCTTTGACAAATAGAGGATGTTCTCCTTAGATGTAAGTCCTTTAGCTTCAATTGTTGGCTGTAACAAGCCTGGGATTTCCCAGGGATTTTTCCCTTATGACTTCATACAATACAATAGAACCATTTAATCTACCACAGTGTTGATTTTTAACCTCACTATGTGTTAAATGTAATTGAGAATTTAAGCCAAATGCYTTGCTATGATTTCTCCATTCTTTAWATAGTTTTCTTCAACAAACCTCTTCCCGTTTTGCTTATAGACGTATTATCTAAGTAATTATAAAAGTAAGCAATAAAAACAAAATATTTCTCATTAAAACTGATAGATTAAGAAAAGAAATTTTGTGTTGCTTTAACGGCCTATTATTTATAACAGTAAAGGTTACAGTGGCATGATGAAAAAATTTAATATTTTTTACAAGTGTTTCTAACTCCTTTTCTCAAGTAAAACATCCAGGAAAATTAACACAAGAAATGGTTTTCCTAAAAACATCTATTAATTTCCTARTATTTCCTTAAAAAACTATTAATGAGACAAAGTGAAAAATGAAAAGGACAGCAGGGAACATTGTTTCCCCTGAGTGGTAGGGGAACTAGAAGTCTGCTTAGTAACAGAAGTACTGTAAGTGCCTATTTTCATACAGGAGTATTTGTGTGGTTGATTTTTTTTTTTTTTTTTTGTAAAGAGAGCTAGAGCTCCTTATGCAAGAAATAGAGGATAACATTTCATAAATGATACAATATTTGATAAATTGCAAGTGTTTACATAACTCCTTCTCAGCACTGAAGTACGACTGAGAGAAATTTGAATATTGTTAGATTTTAAAACCTCCTCCATAAAATGCTCAAACTCTTGTCCATCAGTGACCACAGCAGTGAAACTGCATCCAGATGCTGCACACCGAGTTCACTGTGAAACTTGGAGAGATAGAATGATGCCCAAACATAGCAAAAGCATAGTGAAAAAAAATCCTGTATCTGAAGTAATCTCTGACTTTTTCCACAGAACTGAATTATAAACATTTTGGAGACATCACCCTCCTATTTTTTGCTTGTTTGAGGCTGGGTACACCTGGCCAGTCATGAGCACCACTTCAAATACCAGTAAGATATAGAGTGACTCTCATTCMTATACTGTGTAAACTAGGAGTGGTGAGTCATTTTGGAGGGGATTTTGAATAGAATTTGCAAAAAAAAAAAATTTTGAATAGAATTTCACATAGAAAAACATGTCAGTGGGTTGGTAATTAAAGAACTGGATGACAATTTCTGCTAATGGTGTGGGCTTTAAAAGATTATTAAAACTTCGCTTGTCTTAGCCATTTGCAAGTGAGAGGAACATTAACTTCTATTTAYTAAAAAATCTTTGCACTATACAAGTGAGATCAACATCCAAGCTTCTTGGTAATGTGGTTTCAAACACATAAGATAATTTTACGCCAGTTACAATCAAGTAAAAGAAAATTTTGTCCCTTCAGTTATCATTTTCAGATTAATCCCTTTAATGATATCTATAATATCTACAGTATCAGACTGCAGGTAATAATGGTGTTATTTCTATTTTAATTAGACTGTGCTTACTATTATGACATGCTTAAATCAATGGCTCCAATGTATGCTAAATTTTGCAACAGTTTATTTCCCTCAGAATTTTCTGAAGCTGAGCTGTTAAAGAGAAGCAGCACACTTCCATTTCAGTACTCGGGCAAAGTCACCATACCTGTAGTTATGATAGAGATAAATGCCACAGCAACAAAAAAGAAAACAAAAATAATTTCTATCCTCATCTGGAACCAGCGCAGCGTTGACAGGTAGAGGAACCAGTTGGCCGTGTGTAGGTTCAGAGCTTTGTGAAACAAGGTCTCAAAATAYGGCTGTCGCCCAAAGGCTCTCAGCGTCCACAGCCCTTTCAAGCTTGTAACAAGATGGGTGAAAATTGGACTCCGAGCTGTAAAGCGTTTAAATTAGAACAACATAAACATGCATAAGCAAATGCCTTTGATATAATGCACACCTCCCCCCATGCTCTACCTCACAGCAGCATAAATACTGTCAGTGTGCAATTTACATATGCTGTCAAAGTACACCACTGAAGTCATTCTAACGAAGGATACACAACAACAGTTTTTGCAAGATTGGGTTGAAATTGCATTCAATGTATTGACAGGAAGGGATCACAATATTTCTTCATAACTATAATAATTCTTCATAACTACTTGTCTCATGTGTACTTGGGGAAGCTTCTGGCCTTCTGGAAGATGCCATGAGAGAAAGACTGCTCCTCCCCAGCCAAAATTAACTCCTGCAATTTTGATAACTCCATTATATTAACCTTTTTGAGTTAATTAAGAGTACTTTATTGCTCTGGATTCAACTGCAGTAACATGGTAATTTAAAGCAGATCTTGCATTACATAAAAAGTGGAGAGCCAATGCTGGATCCCTGTGAACATCAAAGAAATTTAAATTTAGATCTGAGGAACTCCAGAATTACACTTGAATAAAAGGGAAGAGGACCACCACTGTCTAAAATTCAGGACTGATTTGTTGAGGATCTGCCAGTTTGCTGCAAAGCCAGACAACAGTACATGTTCTGCAAATTCGCACTTCGGAATAAGGTTTTCAAGTTTATTTGGAACACTTTAGTCTCTTAATGAGGGGAAAGGGAAGAAATATAATCAAATAACTTATTCAGAAATAAGAGCTCTTTTTGATCAAGATATATCCATTGAAATCTTTTCTTACAAAGGAAAAACTCAAAGGGTACATACCAAGTCTGACCACAATTTTGCAAGTTACAGTTACTCTCAAGAAAACTGTATGTCAGGACTTCATTTGTTTTCAGCTGCAGTGAGGGTAAAGCCCATCTTTTAAAAAAGCCTTTTTTATTGCTCTTTGGCAGCAGAGCACTCAGTATTGGCTGGATCAATAACAGCCCTGGCTTTAGGGAGGTAGGTGTTCTGCTCCCAAAGACAATGTCASCTTGCAAGAGAAGCGGCAAAATAGAGGAGAAAGGGTGAATCACTTCTCAATTGATTTGTTGTGGATTTAGAAGTCTACCAATTTGCTGCTCCTACCTTCAGATTCCAGTTGTTTCAGCTGCTGAGAAGTGTGGAGGAAGTATGCCCTTAACAGAATAAAGGCTGCTACCACAGGCACTGATGCCAGGAAGATGTAGGGTTCTAATATTGAGACTACTGTTATAGCGCCAATCACAATCAGTATTAACTGTAGAATGAAAGAAAAATACTATTGATATAGTAAACTTGTCATTTTATAGACTAGAGGCTGGTGATGAATCTCCTTCCTATGGCAACTATGTATTGTTTCAACAAACATCAATGCTAATCTTAAGAAGATTTGCAGCTGAGAACAAACCTCCATGGAAAGATCACAAATTACTTGGATCACATCCATAAACTGTTGCAATAAGCTGCCATCTTTTCTAATAGATGGAAGAAGTGTTTTCTCTAGTACAATCAGCATTGCAGGCTTCCAAAATATGCTATACAAAAGCAATAGCAGCTAAGTTCTCATTCTCCCCTGTAAATTGTAAGAATGACACTTGTCACATCTGCATCCACCTACCAAACCTACCAGTGCTGTCCCTGTCTTGTCTCTAGATTAGGTGTGCAGGACTGCCAGGAGCTGAGTGACAGTCTCCTGCAGGTTCAGGGCAAAGCAGTCTTGCCGAGGATCAGAAAAAGTGGCAATTGTACTCTTCTGCTTGCTCAAGGGACTGTAACCCATATATGAAACTAGCACTACTGCTTGTCCTGAGCAGAAAACAGGAAATAAAATGAAAAGAACTTGTGGCATGACAAATTAGCAGTTTCAGGAGAAATAAAAAGGTGTTTAAAGGTGTCAGATGACTCAAAAGGAGCAAAATTGTTTCAGAGTTAATCTATTTAGCCTACCAGATATTACTACCATTTTACAACCTCATCCCCAGTAGCTCCAGACAGATTTAGCTAAATCTGGTCTCCATCTTTATTCTAGAAGAGACTTAAGAACGCTGACTGTTTTTGTCTCATACCTAAATTTAATGAAAATCAAGTATATCAGTGTACATATAATAGCAAAGATCTGCTTTGTATCAGGGTGTTACTTTAAACACTCAACAACTACTTCAAGCTGCAAACTTACCAGCATAAMCCAACTGCAGATGGACAATTTGGACAAAATAATGAATGTTACATTGAAACACCACTGCAAATGACCAGTCAGCAAATAAACAGATGGAAAGCAAAACTAATTTCACATTAGGAAGAAAGCCACAGTTGGTGCACTTGCTACTATATCCACATAAACTCAAGGAAGTATTTAAATTCCCAGTATTCCAAGTTAGAGGTATTTCATGAACAGGTAAGCAATTTGTAAGTTTCCTACCTTGAAAAAAAGATGATTTTTTTTCATCAGAAATCTGAGCAATGCAATAACAACATGACATTTTATGAAAAAAATTACATTACAGCTGAACTAGCTGAAGGAGGAATGGCTTTGAACTGAAAGAGAGCAGGTTTAGATCAGATATCAGGAAGAAATCCTTTACTGTGAGGGTGGTGAGGCATTGGAACAGGTTGCTCAGAGAAGTTGTGGAAGTGTTCAAGGCCAGGTTGAAAGGAGCTCTGAGAAACCTGATCTAGTGGAAGGTGTCCTTGCCTGTGCAGGGGGCTGGAACTAGATGATTTTTAATGTCTGTTCTAGCCAAAACAATTGGATAATTCTCTGATTTCTTTCACTGTTTTCCTCATTTGGGGGTAATACTTGTGTGGGTTATGCTTGGTAACAGCTTGGGCTGTTTAGTACTGGTCCACGGCAATGCAAGAATGGATTTGTATTCACTCATTTATTTCCAACTGCAGAAATTAGTAACTCTTGTATCTCTCTCTAATTGTTAAGAAGCAAATGAGTTGTTAAACTGTTATTGAGCCAAGTTATACAGCTCTCACATTACTTGAGATTATAGCCACTCAGTGACTGTTATAATTCCCATTTCCATCATTTGCTCAAATTTTGTAAAGGTCACCRTAATGCCATATTGTTCTAACTGCTAGTCCCACAGTTATCTCACTATAAAGTTGAATATGAAAATCTGTCTTATCTCATAAACTCCAAAGTCTAAAGTTAGACAGAAGATGATGAGACTTTCTCTAAAAAGGCAGAAGAAAAAATCTCAACCACAAACCAACTCTATTGGCATCTAGTTGAGCAATGGCAGCAGAGGGCTCATGCAGCCCAGTTCAGAGCCACAGTGCTGTGCTGCTGTCACCCTAGATACTGAGCTTTCAGCCCTGGACAGAGGCCAGATGGGGAATTTATATTCCCAAATTATAAATTATAAAAATATTAATAATAATAAAAAATATAAATTATATTTCCAAACTGTTCCCCAGTTTGGAAAGTGAGGGTGTTAGTAGACAGAGCAACTCAGCAAGTATTCAGGGTGACAACGACTGCAGCAGCCAGTTTGATTAGCCAGGAGGAGTTCAYCATTTAGGGGAAACCAGTCATGACCACAGGGATAAGTGTTCAGTGAGTTCACGATGAACTTTTGAGTGTGACCATCTTAAACCTTAGGGACAAGCAATCTGTGCCAGCAGCATCTCTCATGAAGAATCTCCAAGAAACAAGGACCTCCTTAGGAGGAGGCTTAGGGGCAGTTTTTAATAATTTATATAATTAAAATACATTCTTGTTATATAAATACCACTAGGTATTTCTTGGGGACCACATGTGCTGAAGCCAAATTTTTTTCAGTGGCACAAACTGGGAAGATAAGAGGCAATGGGCACAAGCTGAAATGCACAAAATTCCATTTAAACATAAGAAAAAGCACTTCTATCATGGGGATAGTCAAACACTGGAACTCATTACTCAGAGAACTTGGAGATATCTAAAATGCAGCTCTGCCTTGAGCAAACCCCTCTAGCTGAATCTGCTTTGAACAGAGGGGTTGGAGAGCTTCCAGATCCTCGGTCCACACATCCCTTCCTCATGCTATGACTCTTCCACAATCAGCAGAAGGAAAAGGTCCTGTCTATAACTTTTCTGTACCTTTAAGAGGAATCTGGCTTTGTTCRTTAGCAGAGTCCATGGAAGTCTAAATCTATGAAGGATCAGAAGGAATTTATTGTGAAAGAATGATTGTTAAAATAATTCAAGACAGGGGGTAAGTTCAATGATCTTCAGCAGAAGAACATGGAAAGACAGCACAGCTTATCATGCATGTCTAGAAGTCTCTGCAGTTGAGATTGAGGAGAGAAAGATGAACCTATGGGACAATGGSGCATAGCTAAACCTCTGAAAGGCAGCAGAACAGAAGAGCCAAATACTGGAATGTTTTTTCATTCTTGAAAACACTAAAAACTAGTCAGTTTCTTGTAGAAAGTTTGAAATGTAGAGACAAACTAACATTATTCTGGAATAACATCTCCATGCTAGATCCAAAATATCAGAAACAAAATGGTTGTATCAGAAAAGACAGTAGTGACTCCTGCTCACATTGAACATCATACTGCTGATTCAGAGAGTCCCAGTGTCCCTGTTTGCTCATTCTGCAACTCTTCATGACATCAGCAGGACATGAAGTAAAGCTGTAATAAACTTGAACCTCTCTATGTCAAGCTGCACTGCCCTCTCTGAAGTCATAAGCCAAAGTTATCAATTACTTGGTATATTATTATTATTATAGTTACTTGATACATTATATTATTATAGTTACAAAGCTATAGGGAAAGGAATTCTGTCTTTATCAGATAATCTTGATAGGGGTAGGGGCTGTAAAGCAGGCAAGCTCACGGGTGGAGATAGGCAATCTGTATGGCAAAGTGCTTGGGTTGATTAAGTTGGGCCTGCATACACCTAAATAATGTAGAGAGGAACAGGAGGGCCAGGGAAGATTTGCTTTTATTTTAAAAATGTTCTGGRAACCAGTTCGGTCTAAGGGAAAGCTTAACGCATTTCCATAGAAATAAAGGGACAGAAAAGCCAAGAACATATTCAACAGAAGAGAAGTAAACTAAGGGTGATGCTAGCAAACTGGGAACAAAAGAGCTTAAAGAGGGGAAGTTATGAAAGTGACTGAATGCAATCAAAGAATTAAAAAATAGCAAACTTGAGCCATGATAACTGCAAGAAGCTAAGGAATGCCCTTTGTCACTTATAGTTGAATGTGGGCAACAGCAGGGATGCTTGTCCTGTAGGGGAACTGCAGGACAAAAATATTTCTGAGCCTTAGCAGTAAGAGYAGTTTGCATAAACAGTGGAGGTAATTACACATAGAGGCAAGCACTCAAAAATGAAGCAATAAAGTTGACCTACAGGATAAGAAGCTATGTAAATAGACACATGGTTTGAAAAAAATTAATATTATTTCTTTTACAAGATGTACAGCTGAAAYATTAATTGCTATAAGACAGCAAAAGTCGCAAGTTTTGTTCTACAAACCTGAATGAAGTCAAATACTGTAAGTGGAAGTAAGTCATCCAGTACTGCTGTATCTTTTGAGAATCTGTTAAGCATACCACCTATGGATTAAGAAGAAGAAAAAAACATTCAAACATTTTAATACCCTCCAAATCCCACATTTATTACTTTAACGAAAGGTACAACTTCTTCTGAATACAAAACATTAAGTACAAGATTTTTTCAAGTACAAACAATGCCATTACWGTTTAGTGGAGCTACAGATTCTTTCCCCATGGAGGAATTTGGATACACAACCCGTAGCTCCTGTTTCAGCTCTTAGAAACTAACAGGAAAATGTAACATTAMAAAAGAAACAACTAAAATGGGCAAAAAGAGGCACAAGCATAAGGTCTGCACCCCTTATCCAGCAGGCCCTGCTGATACACAGATAATTTACACATCAGCATTTGCACAGCTTTGTAACTAATTTCTTAATTTCTGAGTAGAATTACTGTATTAAACATCATGTAACAACAAAGTTAAGAATATAAGGGAAAATAAAAGAGAAGCCCATTGTAGTGTCATCATTTAGCAGCATCTCCTRTAATCTAGTACTTATCAGTAAAAAACATATGAGATAGGAATTTCATGTGCAGCAGGATATGAACTTGTTGCACCAGTTATATAATGAGCTTTATCTCAGCTCCCAAATTTGAATATGCATACCATTATTCACACTAAGTGATGCTTTATACCATTTTAGTAGGACTATTCATGAAAAAAATACTATTTATCATCCACATCTGACTCCTTGTCACTCATGACATAGCTGACTATATCTCTTCTATCACACTTTTTGACAAAGTCTATTCTTTAGAAGTTATTCTACTTTTATTGCCTAGAACAGTTAACAGTTTATTTTCTCCAGCTTCCAGGGTGATATTTCAGAATCAGAATTGACAACTGAAATATGTCACACTTAAGTGCAATCAAGTTTCATTAAAAGATTCACAAATTACCTTATGTGGCAAACTTCTAACATTCCGCTTGACTGAAAATGTAAATGAAAGGCAACAGTGTCCTTTGACAGAATGAAAACCATTTAATTGAAATTAAATGCATAGATGAGTCAATCAGCTCCCATCTCAATTACCTGCTTTCCAAGAGTTGAATGTTGACATAGGTGCATGAAGAACTGCATGCACCATCTTTTGATGAAGGGTTTTAGACACTGTTATAAGTGTATGCACAAGGGGCAAACCTCTGAAGATTCCCATGGCAAGCAGGGTATCTGCCACTCCCACATAGATATAAATGATGTAGTAGCTGCTTGTGTCAGTGACAATCACAGAAGGTTTGTCAGAGGTACTGTTTTCTGACTGTGATGAATTTGCCTTCAAAGCTGTCCTGTTGTGATGGAAATTAAAAATAAATGCATTACTGGAAATTGTGTGCTTTTTCTCTTTTATCTACCAAACAAATCAAACAGTACTCCAGTGTTCATTTGTTTTAAAACTATGTTAATGGTTAGCTATAGATACTTCCAGTAATTTTTAAAATATTGACATGTATGTATGAAATATAAATTATTAATTGCTCCGATAGTCTCTTGCAAATCTMCTTTCTGTTTAATCGCCCAAAAACCTAACCTAACAAAGGAAAATACATACACTTCTTTTAAGCAGAAAAATTAGTTTTGAAAAAACGGAATTATTATGGAAGTAAAATGCTTTAGGTACACTATGAAAATCAAACCCCTTAGTGACTTAACATAGATGGCAATCAACATAAATCATTCCACCTCCAGTTAGACCTAAGTCACCACAGGCTTCTATACTCAAACACCCAGGCTCACTGCTGCAGGACAAAAAGAGGGATCAAAAGCATCAGCCCAGGAAGAGTCACTGGCTTTTCCACTGCTCGGTGCTTTCAACCTTCTGCTGCTGACCCTGTATTTTCTGGGAATTTTTCACAGATGAGCAGAGGAAGTTTACAATTGGGGTCTTACAGAAACAGCTCCCTTAAAATGCTCCTAAGCAAAAGTCCTATCTGGTGCCTCTGAATCATGGTATATTGAAGATAATCAGGTCCTTGCATCCCTAGAGTGAGCTGACCCAGGAAAATCTTGTGTACAGTTGTGCACTCAATAAAAAGGCACAACCATTGACTGCTATCTCTTACAGAAGCACCAGCCTAAGACGCCACCTACACGAGGTATTTAGATCATCCATCTATGAACCATTTTGTTGAATATAAGATAGTGACTATCCACATCAAATTCTGGCAGAATTTAGTCATTATTTGCAGAAAAAATTGTTATAAAGGAGTCCCTAGTTTTTCAATAAATTATCACCGCTACTTACTTTTGAAGAAACCATACCCCAGCAAGAGAAGCAGCTACCTGTAACCAAAGAAAACAGAGTCAGATTTTGTCTTACCACTTTATGTATTTTTTCTCACTTTTCTTTTTTCATTAACTTTATACTTGTTTTTAAAGGGAGCATAATAAATGGGTGGAAGTCAAACTTACCTGAATCAAAAGCTTTGCAATATCTGCTTTTCTCTCCACGGAAACAATTTATTGCATCCCACCAGGAAAGCTTCATTTAGACTTGTATTACAATCAGGGTCTCAAGTGCCTAAATATTCTTGTATTTTTTTTTGCCGTACTATTAACAAAGGCTTGCTAATGCCTTCCTAATGATAACTGTATGCCTTAACAGATTTTAATGATTAATATCTTTAATGAACCTAGAAGAGTAAGTCTGTCAGTATCTTCAAAGCATTCAAATATGAATGTCAAATCTTTAACATAGTTATTTTTGCATTGTTTTTCTTGCTAGCTGATATCTACATTTGGTAGATCCATTTGACAAATATTGCTTGGCAGCTTAGTTTGACATAATTTCCCACATAAACTATTGTTATATTTTTTAAATGTAGAATTAAACTCTTCTGTTGAGAGATGGTTCAGCGTTCAGCAAGAGTTTAGAAATGTATAGTCTTGTCTGTCCACTGGTGATCTTAATCTAGTCTATTGTATTTTCAGTTTGCTTTATTTCTGACTATGATCATTTCTTCTAAGGGTTGAAACAGTTTTTACATTTTCTTCCCTTACATTTTTATGTCACTGGTATAGAAATGTATTGTGGTACTATCCTGACACATGAGTGAAGTCTTCTCTTTGGGAGCCACTAACTTGTAGGTCTCACAGTAAATAACTCAAGACTGACCATGATGGTGCTGAATTTAGGTATTTGTAAGAATCAGCCTTCTTTCACAATACTATTTTTACAACTCCCAACAGAATTCTGTTCTCATCTCGACTCCTTGAAACAGAGGAGTTTTTTCACCTGTGAAGATGATGGTAGGTAATATTGTCACAGAATAGTTTCACAAAGCTTTTTACTGTGTTTTCTGTCAAAACTGCTCTTTTCCAGCTCAGCAACCTTAGTCCCTGCATATTACATCTAGGAGACACAGTTTTGAGCTGCTTAAGTGAGCTACACAACATGCATCTCGCAAACCTAGGAAATATGGACAACTGATTGTTTATGGTGGTCTGTGTGAACTAACCTTGGAATTTGCAATACAAAGTCAACCATTCAAAATCTAAAACAGCATCTCTAGAATTTACCAATAGTCCCACCCAGTTCTGAAGAGTGTAAAAACCCCACTTTCARTTTACTTGGATGTTCATCACTAGCCACTCTTCATTGTCTAAGGTTGGAAGGGTACAAACTGTTAGCACAGGACACATAAACACTTGGCATGGTATTTCAGCTCACACACAGATGTTTGCTAAAGACTGTGCTAYAGCTGGATATCTTCCAGGCCATTCATTTATCAATAGGCTTTTACTTCAACAATAGTCACACTGCAAGGTTTAAATTGTATGGAAACATCCTTTGTCATAAGATATTTTTTTTTTCACTTAGAGGATGAGGATCTTGAATTGTTTAAAAAAGAGTTAGTCTAAAATAAAAGCAAAAATGTGTAATCAAGGTTAGAAATATATGCTGAAYATACAGGAATAAAGCTGATATACCTCACAGCTAAAACTTCCTTTGCTTCTAAAACTCGCATTCAGCTTTGCTGTTCTTTGCACAGCCATTTTCCACTACCTTGAAAATAAAACTTATAAGAATAGCTATGTATCTAGATACTGTCATGCTTTTGGAGATGGTTTTAAAATTTAGGATGTTAAACTAGCTCTAAGCTCCAGGAGTTATTCCTGGTCCAAGAGAACTAACTTAAATCACCTGCAACATGACATTAGTGTAAATTCAGAATACCATCAATCACATCTATCTCAAGCTATGATGATACTAGAATTTTGAATCCCACCCCAGAATTGCTAAAAACCCTTTGCTGACAATCAGCCAGAAACTTGTCCTATATTCCTAATGGATTGTTCTCATCATTCAGTTCATGCTGGAAAATGCCAAGAGAAATTCACACCATATAAGTTGACATATGAATAGAGTCTCATTGATTTCCCACAATGAAATATGTTCCTTCCCTTTCAAAAAAACTTGATTTAGGATATTCACTATAGAAGAGGACAACATGAGATTCTATATGCTAAAAGTCCTTCCTAAATGGAAAGACAAAGCAAAAATCAGGCCCTTTCTGATTTATGAAAAACAGTCAAATGTTCATGGAACAGCCAAAGGTTCTTCAGTACTTTTTCTAGCGTTTAGCACCATCCTCAGAAAAGGTTTTCTCGTCATTCTGCAGGAATACCCCTTTCATCTTTAACTGCCCTCAGAGGGGTTCAGCTCTCTGCCTTACTCACCACTCTTCTTTCACTGGGAGCAGAGCTAGTAACTCATTTTTCAAAGCAATTTTACACAATTTATGTATGTGGTCATCAAAAAAATTATGGCAATTATTGTTGTTAACTCCCCAGGGCTCTGCAAAGATAATTCTTAATGGAAAATGGAAGATTAGTAACTTGTGAACAAGATTAGTAACTTGTGAACAAGAGACCTGTGTAGGGCAATAATTCTTATTTACGGTACCACATAGCAGAAAATAACCAGGATCATTTGAGAAGTTGGCCACTAACTTCAGTGAAGAAATGCTCACCTGAGCAGAAGAAAAGTAACCACAATATAATTTAACAGCAGTTGTCAATAAGTGATATATACCTGAGCTTGTCTTGATGCTTTACACATTTTTCACAAAGAGCAGCTTGACCAAACAACATTTGTTGTAACATGACACCAARCACAGATTTTCTTACCTCAACTAAGAAGACAGTCACACACAAAATCAGAACAAAAATCAAGTTCTTGTGGATAGTAATGTATCTGAAATATGTATTCCATGTAGTAACAGTACCCATGCTTTCAGCATCATCAGTGAAGCACTCCTGTCAAAAAATCAGTAAGAAAATAGTAAGAATGATAATAATATCTGATCTCTGTATGAGAATTTCTGACAGGTGAATGCTATCATTCTTTCTGCTAACTCACTGCAAATAATTGAGCTGAAGCATTAAATTGGCTGATAATGGCTGGAGGGGAAGATACTAACTGGTTGAGTCATCTTTGCTATAAAAATAYAATCTAGAGATTATTTGAAATGTTCAGACAATAATGAAAGAAGCTAAGATTTGACTAACACTCCCAGAATCAAAATCTATTAATCAATAGCTATTTTCTTTCAATGGAGACTATTATTGTGATTTTAAAGTAAATTTGTAAACAATCTGAGGGGTTTTTTTCTGCTGAGCTCAAAAGAAAAAATGGGCAGTGCTTCAGCAAATTATGAATTTAAATTTTTCTTGGAAATCTGTTTCCACCTAGGAAACTCCTCCAGAAAATTTTCCTATATTGACAAAATCAGCTGTCACTTTTGAAAATGCAAGTAGTCCATCATGACCACTTGAAAGTATTAGGAAAAAAAACATTTGGTCCAGTTCTTGATATAAAATGCAACCTTCTGTTTTTTTCAGCACATCCATAAAACCAGAGTAAAATCAAGCTTACTCCTTCATTCATTTTCTGCATCAGACACAAGAACTAAGCCGTCTGAAAAATTTATCAAATTTGATCAAATTTCAATCTTAAAAACAGTGCTATTATTTCAAATGCATTTTTTTTTCCATGAACCTTAACATTTCAAAGGCGAATTTTACATAAATGTTTTACAATAATGTTTTTCCAAGTTATGGTTTCAAATTTTATTTTAGCATAAGCAATCTGAAAGGTAAAGTGCAGGAGATGGAAATTTTGTATTCAAGTTTCCTATAGATAGCTCTCTAAAATGAACAAAAAGCAAGGCTAAATAAATTTTTGAGGATTTCAATGATTTCAAGTTGAGTTTAAAATTTTTATAGGTATTAAAAAAACATATTCCAGAGAGAAATACTGGATTAGGAAGGAAATAGTCAAGTAGAAAAATAGATGAAGAGTATGTTGCACTAAACCATCACCATAACCAAACCCAAGGCRAGTGTAAATCAACACCCACCTTCAAATCCTCTTCACTGATCTCATCAGTTATGTCCAAGACACTGTCTCGAGACACACGCCTGGTGTAGATATCGATCTCAGAAGACAGGTTTGTCTGAGGCACCACAGACATTTTCCGAAACGTCGTACTTCCCTTTTTGGAAAAGTTTGGTCCGTAGTTGACAGAGTTGCTGGTCATGAGGTTCAGCACCGACTGCCTCCTGCGCCCTGGCAGCAGATGGTCAGTGTTCAGCATTCCAGTCCTCAGCACAGCCACGTCCCCCTGCTCCAAGTCTGGCACCAGCGAGAGCCTCCTTTCTGTGTCACTGTGGCCATCGTCGATCCCAYTGACCTGCATCCCATTCTTCTGCACTACTGAGAACTTCCTACTTGCACTAATGGGATTAATAATTATGGAGTTCTTCCTTTTGTCATTAAAATCTGACTTTTGTTTGAAAGATTGCTTATTTATTTCATTTCGTGGTCCCATGCCTTCTCCTTCAATGGAAAATCGCCGGAGAGTCTCAGTGAGGATTGAATTTCTTCTCTCTGCACTGAACTGATCAAAAGAATCAAATCCCATCAACTCTGAGCTGAAGTCTGGCCGCTGACCCTGAAGTTCAGAAAATGTTCCATAGAAATAGCAGCTCCCTTCATGTAAAATTAGTATTTTGTCAGCAATCTTTAAGTGTTCCAGTTTTGAAGTAACCAAGATCCTAGTTTTATTTGCCATCAGCTTGCACACACAGCTGTAAAAGATGAAAGTGTGAACATTTAGACTTTTTTGTTCTCATGGTTAAATGATGCTTTTATCCCTTTCAGTTTGCTTTTACCTGCCCAGTATGAGCAGTCTTGGGTGCTCCCTCAAACCACAAAGGAGATGGTAAAGCTGAGATGTGTAAAGGGTGAGTACTTTATCACAGCAACCAAAGAAGGGGTGAAATTTAATCATTTTCTGGTCAATCCAGAAAGCACAGTTCATCATGAAGTATTTATTTTCATCTTGGGATTACCCAAMTCTGTTGCTACCAAACTTAAAAGTATTGTTTCAGTTTCAAAACTTCAATTTCAAAACTTCAAATGTACAGTGGCTGAAAAGGTCATGGATGTGTGTGTCCTTACTATTTCCATAAAGGAAAAGCCTTTTTTCATAAAGGAAAAGTCTCTGACTTGGGCAAACCTGCTCCAGCAGGCAGTTTCAGGTGATTCCATGTTCAGTGATTAGAAAAACAGGACAAAATATAGCTTTTTTTGTAAAAAATTATACTTTAAAAGCAGGTAATTGTTTTAAAGTGAAAGCTTTTTTGGTACAAAGATGTGTCAGATATAAAGTCATGAGACTGGGAGYAGGAGACAACAGCAGGCTCAATATGTTGAGATGGAGGAGGGAGCAGTAATGCTTTTACCTGGCCCAGGCTTGTTCCCTGCACAGTGCGCTGTCCTACCACCAACACACAATACTCACAATATACAAAATACTGTGAGAACCCCTAAAAATAAACATCCCCAAAAGGTATAATTTTGAACACTTCAGTAGTTTTGTCCTGTAATTAAAAACAGTTCATTTTATTTTGTGCTGCTTGGTGAGATTCTTAAATACAATCTTACRAAACATACAATACCTTTCAAATATCTCTTTTTCTGTAAAAATGTCTAAATGTCCAAAAGGAGAATCCAGGAGATACAAATCAGCATCTTTGTACACTGCTCTGAACAGAGAAAATGGAAATGACATTAACTTTCATTTCACATCTCTTATAAATTTATATAAACATATAAATATAATTAAAGAAGAATACTTCAAATCTTGTAATGAACAGACTTTCCACAGCATCAATTTGGAGCTGGAGTTTAACACAAAAATGTGTTTAGTTATAAGACATTTTTTCAATAAAGTCTTTCCTTGCTGCAGACCATATTACAAACTCAATTAATTTCYATTAATTTCTGTGCAATGAAACAAAACATGTCTTTTCCACAGGTTGCCCTAAAGATCTGTTTATGGGCTGAATCTGGCAGTCCCCATCAATGTGCAATCAATGGGAATTTAGTATCTGTAATATCTATAGATGCTTGAGAGAATATTGCATATATGCAAACATGTGAAAATACTTAGGTCTCAGCACTTAGTTTTGGAAGTACTTTTTCAAAAATGGTGAGCAAAAAGAAGTGTACCAGTGGGGCATGGTCTTGCAAACACTATTTGAAATGGGACTGTACAATACTTTCAGTTGAAGACATCAAAAAGGATCTTAARCTATGTGTACTTTGACATTGCTCACTGAGACCTAAACCTCTGGTTAAGAAATTTAAAAAAAAAAAAAAAATTGAATAGAACTTCAAAAAGACCCCCTGCCTTCCTCTGTGAGACYGAAAATCATTATGTGATATCAATCAGATTATAATTACTAAGGAAATCTGGTTAGCKGCATTTCTGTATTTAATATGTTAATCAGTGTGAAAATATTTAACCACCAAGAGAAGAAGCCTTCAATAACAGCATATTATGTTAATAAACTAAGCAACTTTATTGAAAAATCCTCTGACACTCTGGATTTCACTGACCATACATTGTGATGTAGTGGCTTCACAGCAACAAAAACTCATACTGCTCTGGGTGCTGTTATCAGCAAGAAGTTTGCAGGGTTTAATTGCTATAATTTGTGTGTTGGACTTAGTAGCTACAAAATGACTGGCTTTAAGGTACCAGGCCAATGATCTGGCTCAAATCCAGGACGTGCACTGTTTTTTTCCCTTTGGTCCCTCCTTTGCCCCAATTGCAGCTGCAGGCACTACAGTGCTCTGTAGGAAAGATGGACTCACACAATCTCTGCCTGCTCCTCATGTCAGCTGGTTGATGTCACCCCATGATGGATTCTCATTTCACTTGACCTTGCACAATCTRCACCAGATACATTTATGCAGCCAGTCCAAGCAAGTAATGTCCAGTTTATCATCGAGGTACAACTCAGGGTCATCCTAAATTTATTCCTCTAACTTTTCAGAGCTTCATCTGCAGCCCACACCTCAATACCTGCACACCTTGCAGCATGCTGAGCTTGGACTAAAGCCTGAACAAAATGTAACAGTCACTGCCTTTATGGTATTTAATTGTTTTGAAAATTACAATTGTACAGCTGATAATAAATACTTAAGTTCTGTGAACCTCCAGAAAATGAGCTGTGACCATCTGAAAAGTGACAGACATTATAATCCATAGCATCTAGGAAATAGTCCATGTAAGTTGAATTTTAAATGAAAATCTGAGTGGGTTTTGTTGTTTTGGGCTTACATGCTTTGAAAGCTTGGCCTGCTCCTCCCCTCCTCTCTCCTCTTACTGCATAAACCAGAACCATCCATACGCCTCTTCAGTCTCACAAACCCACACTGCAAGATTCTCTATTTTAATGATCCCATCTTTTGGCCTCACACTGACATGCACATCTTTCATGGGACGCCAGTGCGGATCACTATAATGTGATTCTATTTCTACCCAGCGTTTCTGAGCATGGGAACCAACACAATTTGCACTTGGCACAGAAATAAATGGGGCCATTTACACATCAGAGCTGTCATTACCGGATTTCTGACAATAGTTAAGTGATTCTGCTGAAACACACAGCTAATTTATAAGACAAACACCTGTGTTATTGTTCTGCAGACCTTCAGAATTACTTGCTAACAAGGAAGGTCAAACAGACAATGCAGTTATTCATAGGCACTAACTAGCCACTGCTTTCCACTTTCTCTTGTAATGACAGAGAGAAACCCTGAAGTGTTAGCAAAATGTTTTGGATCTTAGCTTTTCTTTTTCTTTTTTTTTCTTTTTTCTTTTTTTTTTTTTTTTACTTGCAGGCAGGGAGTATATAGTTGATCAATATATAAACCTCTTTGAAGAAAGGTCATAGCAGGGAAAGATCCTGGAATATTTATTTCTACCTTTCTATGGGTTTCTTCAGTACATAGAAAACTACACTTACAGGTCTGAATTTCCAAAAGCATCTTGCAACAGGGAAGGAAAGACTGATTTTATGCTAAGCCATAGCATTTGTCTGACAACAAACTTTTAAAATCCAGTAAGTTAATATACAAGTCTATCATTAACAAAATTGCATAGCAAAACTCAGATTTCTGAGAGTAAAATCAAGTTCCTGATATACCTGGGGGATATTTATTTAGGGCTTAGTCCACATATATTTAAATGCTTAGTCATAATACATTCCATATACATGAAATAGTACACTATTTGAAAAGCAAAACACTCACCTTGCCAGTGAGATTCGTGCTCGTTGGCCTCCACTCAGGATGATTCCACCTTCACCCAGCAGCGTATAATCTTTGTCTGGGAACTTGGAAATGTCCTGTTAATTTTTTCAAGAATCAGTATTTTCCAAGAATTAGCCAAGAAACAAGACTGGATGTAGTGTACATCCATAAGCATAGAGTACAATGGTGTACAGACAGGTTGGACAGCAATTATGAAAAAGAAATGTCCCATAGAATTATATTTATTTCATTTGTTTGTGTTATCAGAAAGGGTGATAGGATTCCATTGCAGAAAGCAATCACTAACTGCAAGATCTTAAGAACAAATATTTGTCTGAATAGTTAATCTCCATAAAAGCAAGGAATGTACCTTCATACAATGTCAATGTAAGACATTAACTGCTCAAGTTTTCAGTCAGCGAAAGATAAATGCACTTGCTGCTGAAGCTAGGGACAGCAAGAAGCAAACTCTGTTTTTGAGCTCCTCAAAACCCAGAAATTTATACTTCAGGCAGATTCATTAAAAAAGGTTTGGCTAAATTCCTAGCCAGGAATGCTCAAGGTCTGCAAAAGGTTTGGGAACCAATTTCCACTGCTTGCACTATAAGTTACTTAAACTCATGACTGTGTTAGAAACGAATCTTTAGCCAGCGATTAAAGTACAAAATACCATTTCACTACCATAGGAGACAGAGAAAGCAGAAAAGGACACCSTCATGTCCCATTGACAGGGGTATACAGAAATTTTCTTGAGAGGAGCATTTACCACTGAAATTGATGATCAGTGCAAGCCACAGAAATTCATGGAAGTGGAGACAAGGAGGAAGGCTTGTGTGCCTGAAGGCTGTCTAGTTTTTCTACTTTTAGAGTTGCTCTAATAAAAAATAATAATTCCGCCTTCAAGCTTTACCTGACCTAGATCAGTAAGCCAATCCAGTGACACCACTGTCACTGTGGCGGATACAGTTCCAGGGGACTTTTCCCAGAAACACAGGCTGGATCAGCTCCCTGAGCCTCACAGCATCTAGGCTTCCAGGGGATACAACTTCAGGGCACTGTGCCATGCAGCAGGAACCCCTGACTACCCCAGAAGCTCCCGGTGCCTGTGCTCACTGCTCAGCAGCACCAAACTCCCTGTGCASACCTTCCCGTTCCCAAGGCAGGGATCCCCATGCCAAGGAAGCTGACCAAGGCACCTGGTATCAGACAAAATCAGCTCCAGTGTTCTCATGCATTGCACATCTTTTCAGTGCAGCTTCTGGGGGAGAAAGGTGGCATGCATTCTCCCTCAGAAACTGAGCTTCTGAGAGCAATCTTCAGGCAGTGCTTGGGAAGGGGTACCCTGTTTAGGGGTCTCCCCGGCAGCCAAGAGGCAGGCAGGAACTCAGCTGTCTGCATGCCCTCTGCAGCACCCCCAGAAATCCTGTGGCTTCTGCACTGGAATACACATGAACACTTTCAGGGCAATWCCACCTTGGATTGAGGTAAACTGAGCTGCTGTCTGTAAGTTCATATTTCATACGAAGTCAGATACAATCCAATTTTGATGACCCCTGCTGTGATTTTGATGGCTGATCATTCTCTGTTGGGCAGAGTATTGGCATTCCAGGCCTCTGAGGTTTTGCAGGATAAATAGATAAATAAATAAATAATCTGTCCAGAGAAATGTTTCCTTCTTCCTCCCCTGCAAATTGCCCTGACCTCAGGAACAGAGTGAACAATGCTGTTCAGACCTGGAACAGTGACAGAAGAAGGGTCCAGCCACTTAAGAATTAGAAATTGACTGCCTGGTCTGTCAGGAAATGGGAGATTCTCACAACCCTTTAATTTGATAATAGCATTTACTTCCTGACTTAGAGGATTCTGACCTTAAAATCAAGATGCTCTTATGTATGGAAAATCTATTGCAGGTGATTTTTAGATTATTATCACATTAACTAGTTATTTGCCTCTTGTAAAAGGAGTCACACAAGCAAATCCCTGGTACTAACACAACAGCTCAAGTATTCGCAGAAATAGTAATGTGAAAAACATTGCCAGCAACAGTTTTAAAGAAATGTTCTCTGAATGTGACAAAATCACCTTCCTATAGATCATGAAGTATTTAGAGAGAGGGTATGAAATTCTGGCATATAATATTTTCTGGCATTTATTTGAGACAGTCTAGACAGATCACTTGGGGTCTCATTATGCACATAGGAGTCATGTTATTCGTGTGTAACTTTGGCATTTACCCAGTGTCTCTGCCTTAACTTTGGGGTTTGCATGGTGAAGTATCCAGATCCCTGACCTGATTTCAGCTCTTCCCCATTTCTGCCAGTACTGCAGCATTTAATGGTGCCAGTGCCCTTGCTGTTTCCTGATTCTACTTCTTCCAAAAAAAAAAACCCAGGTGAAGAACTGGGTCCAGCATGTCTTCTCCTGCAAATAGGGTAAAATCCTAGCCCTACTGAAATTCATTCTAGGGTTCCCATTGTTTTAAATGGTAGTGGGATTTCATCAGATATATTTCTTTGCAGGTGTGTCAACATGGAATTTTAATCAGACTTYTAATGAGTTCCCCTTCTGCTCTCCTCTACCCTTCACCTCAGGATAAAACATGGCATGGAGCAGACAAAGAACTTTGCAGGCTGTAATTATAATAATTAAAAAATATTTAGTAATTTCTTTCAAAGGCGTAAACAGAGTAATGAAGTCCAATAGACACACAATGCTATTTGTTGGAACACTCATGATCTATTGTAAAAAAGTACATAGGGCTGGTCCAAATACATCCTTGCTGTCATTTAATGCAGGAAGTGAAATCAAGCCAGGAACAAACCTAATGTGATGATGCTGAACGGCACAAGACCCAGCATATTAGTGAAGTATGAAGCAGCCACTGGATTTTCTTCAACATATCTATTTCTAAATGCTTAAATTGAGAAGCCYGATGTAACTATTCATTCTGAAAGCCCCTACAGTTCCCACAGACATTAATCACTTTTGTGGATGYTTCTAGTATCAGGAGCTAAGAAATGTAAAGTTGCACACTCAAGGAGAAGACACCATTTTTATTAACTATGCATTTATTAACTATTGCATTTTTTGCAGTGTAAACACCACATTCATCTACCTCAGCAGTAAAGGGATGGCCCTCATAGTACCTTTGGGCTTGGTATGGAAGAATACAGCCAGGAGAGCTTCAGGGTGAACAGGAAATATGGTCTTGTTATTAAAATAGGAAACCTGAGAATGGACTTCACACTCCAGGTCTTTTCTGTGAAGATTAATTGTTATCAGAATAATTTGATAAATCATTAACAACAATGAAGATAATAAAGCATGACAGAAAATAGCCTCTAAGAACCAAGAGATGCTTAATATATCCAAGGCTACTCAAAATACTCAAGAAGGTCTAATGATAGAACCTAAGTATTTTACTTATTTGACCTCTCTTTCTTCCTTAAATTTGTCCTTAATTATGTGGGTTTTGATCATCTCTCTTCTGCCTTCCCTCATAAAAAAGAAAACAGTCATGAACCTGATGGAACAGAGCAGCAGTCTTGACTCTCTGCATTTCATCTTCACTCTGTTTCACTTCTCTATTGCACTTTTTTTTCTTACAGTCACAGTTTCTTTACCATCTGTCTCCTTCCTTTTCTTCATTGCCATTAACATTCCCTATGTTTATTTTCAGAGCTCCAAAAAGATTCCCCTACTCTCATTGCTACCAAAGTATCCCCCTTTTCACCATCATCACCTTTTCTCTGTGTATTAGCTGCCTCTGAATACACTTTGCCATTCCTTTTTTGTAGCACTATTTGCTATATATTTGAAAAAAAATACTTAAGTCTTTATTGTATAAAAAGCTGAATACAAGTTAAGCAGAAAAGGCACCAGGGGTTTCAAGCAGGAATTGCAATACCATTCCACTCTCTTTCATTATTTTTCTCTTTAATTATAAAAGAAAAATCAACTGCTACCTACTTTCTCACTAATATGATTATTTCTGTACTTCCAAGCAATCATATTCAATTGTAATATGCCAATGARGTAGAAATGGAACTGAAACCGACCCTGGTTTTGCATTCATACTAAAACTCTTTAGGTAACCAATATGAAATGTCTTTCTGCAGAAAGTATAGMTTTTTATTTGTCCTGATTTTCAGAAAACAATTTAAATAAATAAGACAAGATACAAATGAAACTGAAAAACTTGAGTTTTTAAAGTTTTGCAATTAAGGCTTGTGTTTCACTCATACCTACTACAGAACACTTCTATGAATTTTTAAAACATGAATAATTTTCAATAATTTCTTGTATCTTGGCTTTTGGGTAACAAGTCTGAACATACTTGAATCCTCATTTTCCTGGAAATGAAACCAGAAAAATAGTTTTCTTTAAAGTACTTCAAATCAGATTTCTAAAAAAATTTAATTTGTTTAGGTAACTCTCTACTCTCTCCCTGTGATTCTTAAAGCAAAGGCTTTTGTTAGACTTTAGCCGAACCATTTATGAAGGATTCATGATCCAAAAGCAAAAGCTTTGTTTTTGCAACAGTTTGTGACCTTGAACAGAATGTCAGGCTCGCCCAAAACTCACACAAATGCTGGCAAAACTTGCTTTGTCTATGGTGAAATATTTCCATGGATTTTTGAAACATGAAGTAGTCAGCACACTGTATGTGGGTAGGTTAAACGTGGGGCAAGAGAATTAAATATGCTTCCAGGAAAGACAGTAGGACAACATCCAAGGTAATCAGTCCAGAGTCCTCTACCTAAGACAGGGAAAGGGGTGGGGAGAGTCGTCTTGACTGAAATAGGTTTCCAATTAAAGTATATCAACAGAGAATATTGCAGGGGGTGTCTGTTACACGTATTTGGGAGGTGTTCCGCTGCTATAAAGAAACTGAGCTAACCTCTTAACTTCCAGTTCACCCAGAAACCTCACTGTGTCTGCAGCTTCACAGCTGACCTGCCAATGACTTTGGGCCATGGACAAGAATTTCAGTCAGAGGAGTCTGTGTATGCCAATGGATCACACCAGTCTGGGGTGGAAAAAGTACAAAGGTAGCCAGCTTTTGGGTCCATGTGTCTACAGAGATGTGATGGGG